TTTGGGAGTACACTTGTTAAATTACGTTTTTAAACAGGCCAAATAAAATAGATCAGTCGGTAAAGCACTGCGTGTATATATTGCTAAAAAGGGGCACACGAGACACACCATAAGTTAGGGTAAAATTCCACATCAATTACCTGGTTTCATATTAGAGAATTCCCTGTATTATGAATTTCTGAGCCACGGAGTTCACTCCGGGGCACTATCCAACACCCAGACCCAAACCAATTAAGAAAAGGTTATTTTCCAAATTGGTCCTATCGGGAATCGCACCCACGACCGCCTCATCCAGCGCCCAGCAGGGTACACCGTTGAACCACCGAGTTCGTCAAATAATTTTAATGTCCATACAATATTCTGTGGCTACTATAGTATCTGTACTATCTGTATCTGTATTCAAGCATTTATACTTAATATTTTAGAGGGAAACCATAAACCATTCTCGTTAATTAACATACTAAATAAATAAATAAATAAATAATAAATAACGCACACACTCAACATAGCCCCGCACTAGGGAAACCCTGTGTCGCGGGTGCCATGGACACACACATAGACAACCACAAATTACACCCAAACTCACGAGAGAAATAATTGTAGGCCATACAACTATTTCTCTCGGCCCGGGAATCGAACCTGGGACCTCTGCGTGGCAGTCCGGTATGGTAACCGTTCGGCCACGGAGGCAGTTAGTAAAGGTTTCTAATAAGAGATTATGCCATTTGTTATGTAACGCTATAATCAGCGATTTTCGGCAATGAAATAAAATGTCAATGTCAAAGAACTTACCGATCACATAGTTGCAGTTAATAGCATCTGATTGGTTCACAGATCTAGCGTAGCGTAATCCTAGGTCTGTGGATTGGTTACTCATTTGACATTAGAAAGAAATTGAAAAAAAGCTGAACATTTTATAAAATGAACTTCGATAGCAAGACATTAAACTAAACATTTAGTTTTCTTTAATTTCGTAATTTCAATTTAAACTTTAGGGAAAGTTCGTTTCGTAAATACGAAAAACTTGTTTAGGTCGCCATTTTTCCATACCCCAAGTCCTTTTTACAAATTTTAGTCTTAGACTTGCCAGATCGTTTTCGAAAGCGCTGTTTAGGACACTTATCCTGTGTACTTACACATAATTGGAGATTAAACTATTTTTTTCCAATCTAAATCGTGTATTACTACTTGGAATAGACCTATTGTCCAATTTGAACTTCGGCACATACATAGAATTCATGGCGAAAAATGCAGCCGGAAGCTTGATATCCTAACCCGAGTGAGGCGTTACTTCACATCGTGACAGTACGTGACAAGAAGCTTACAGGACTCGGAATTAGTTGATATGAAACTGCAGAACCTTGAACACAGCCGTAAAGTTGCATGCTTATCGATATTTCACAGAATATATCCCCGAGGATGTGCTAGGTAATTGCGCGGTTTAATTCCGCTTTCCTATTGCCGGGGGACCAGACGTAGGTTGGGTTACCCCTATATTGTTGAGAATTCGCACGGAGCATTTCGCTTCCACATTTATATGGTGAACAGCTATGGAGTGGAACCGGCAGACTTGTTTTCTGAACGATATACCTTTAGCCTTTTCACGGCGAAAGTTAATAAATATTATTTAGGTGTGCATGTTCCATCGTCGACTTCACCAGCAATTTTCATCAGGTGAGATGGATGTCAAATGCGCACTTTTCAAACAAGCACAGTCATTCAGCCATGACCGTGGTACTTGTAAACGGCTCGATGCGTTGGTTTGTGTGAAAAAATGGTTTCTATTTCAATTTGTAGCAATCGCGAAAACCTAAGGACTTGATAAGTATGTTATATTCTAATATGTATTGGTACATACATCCACTGTACGCCCTTTTTCCATCGGAACAGGCCTCTGTCTGTGTGGTCTCTACCACAGCCTTCCACTTGCTACGATCCTGACGCTTTGGTATTAGATTGATTTCAAATATTGGGATGCAATTAAAAGTAGTTTTTTTTTGTGATACCAAATGACGGGACGTACAAGTCGTTCGCCTGGTCGTAAGCGACACGTCTATCTATAACAGTTGCATTGACACTCAGACTTTTAAGAGTCGATTTTTAAAGGTCTGAGTGTCAATGCAAGGGGAAAAACATGACTAATACGAGCTGAGGTAGTATCGATACTACCTCAGATCGCTCGAATTCATGTTTTTCCCCTAACTAAGACGGTTCGGCATTGGCTTTATTTCGGAGTTTTATTTTTTACAAACGAAATTAAAGCAATTTGAAAAATGTATATCGTATAGTATATTAGACACAACACCACCTCCGCCAACCGTGGAACCTGTAAAGGGCCCGAAACGTTGGTTTGTTTGAAAAAACAAATTTACGCGATTTAAATATGGAAAAATAGTTTCATTTCCTGTGTGTAACAATCGCGAAAACGATAGAAAAGAACTCCCTATGTTTCAAATATTTTCTAATCTATTAGATCCCAATTCTTCTCTTAGAACAATGTTCAAATTAATGTTATTCTCTAGATTTTCCATTTCGGTCACAATCAAAGTAGATGTACGTACTGCAAGTTGTACTAAGTATTCACATAGCATAACTTTAAAACCACTATTCATATAGCTGGTGATAATTTCAACCCTCGCTTTTTATTGCATAATTGAATCATTACTTAATTTTGTCATTGAGTCAAAACAACGTAATTAGGTATTTGTTTATATGAATTCCAAAACAAAATAATAAAGAAAACTACTTACCTATTATTAGCTTAGTTGTACTGCAATTAGTGAATAATCATTTAGTGAATAACCACGGGTCTAAAAATCTACATTGGCTAATCGCTTTTTTTTTTCATTAGAAGCGTGCAACAACAACAAAAGCAAGTTAGCCATATGTAACAAATTATATTTTGTTAATATTTTTTAATAAATTGTTGTTCTATATCCATAATAAGATGTTACCAAATAATTATTAACACAAAGATTGAACACTTAGAAAAAAATCCTTCGATCCGGCCGGATTCGAACCGACGTCTTCTAGCAAACCGTGCCAGAAGCTATGCCAACTAAGCCACGGAACGAACCAGCACACCTCACGAATTTTTCCATGTGCTTCTTAGTCGGATCTTTGTACCTGGTTTTTAACGAATTTTTAGCTTAGACTTTTTTTAATTTCACAAAAAATAATTGACTATCATGGTGCTGAAACATTAATAAAACATTCGAAAAATCAATATTTTAGTCATTTTAGAATCCATATGACTCGGGAACTGGCAACATGGGGCACGCGTTGATAGTGTAGGATTATAGTTGTTTTGTCTTATTCTACACATGAAAAAATAAAAATATTTCTTCCCGCCAAATTATAAGTTTTAGGCAAAAATTCCCAATAACAATTTTTCATCATAATAGTGAGATCTATCTACAGGTATATAAGAAAACGTCATTTGTAGAAAAACGCCCAATGTCACGAAATTCCATTTTCGACCCACTGTGAACGTTGCGAATTTGTGCCCTTACCCTTCAAAACCGGAACGCAGTAATGCTCACATTACTGCTTGGCGTCAGAAATAAGTAATGTGGCAGTGGCTTGCTTGGACGAACTCCTTCATAAGAAGCTCTACTGCTATTAAAATATATAATATACTAATTCAATTCTGAAACATAAAGATAGTCTATGAAAATAGACACAATTGGTAGCAAAATAGAAGTCTCCATACAACTACAATACTTATATAACACAATATTATACAAACTACGACACAAACTCAATAAAACTCTATTTTTATTTCAAACATCGGATCGTAACCATCAACCAATCAGCGCCATATTTATCAGTGCTTCTAAATTTAAATATTTTTCTTTTCCATTACGTTATACTGAGTAGTACTCGTTCGTTTCAATCGATCTTAATTTTGTCAGTTTCAATTAAAATCCTGGATCTGGTAAGGTAAGATAAATTTATATTTATATCAAAAAATTTGGATAATATCTTACTAACTTACTAATGTGTGTTTATAAATAGTTTGGAATTATATTCGGTAGTAAGTACCCGCATAACTGTTTTTTATTTCTGTTATTTTAATAATAATATTATATAAGCCTTATTTATAAGTACATAAGCTTTACGGCTCATGTATAAGCCGTTATATAATACGCTTCAATATCAATCAATCTGATAATAGCTAAGTCATAGTCGTCAAGTAAATTAATACTGAATCGATAAGCTGATAATTTATTGAAATAGAACTGTTATCGGACGTGGATGCAAGCCTGCATTGATAGATAACATATCGATATAAAACAAAAACATTTACCTACCAAATTATATAAAGAACAACAGACAGGATTACACAATACGAGAACAGTATAACAAAAAATATACTTTGCTTACACTTTAAAGTACCAATGTATGAAATGATACCACATAAGTTAAACATGAATCTATCTAAAGGTTTTCTTTTTAATTTTTTTTTAGTCTTTATTTATTTAGGGGCTTTGATCGTTATTGAACATGTTAGCCCCATTTGTAAAACGGTACATCAAGAAAACACTTAATAAAGTCCAGACAGATAAATCAAAATACTAACTAACTAAACATGTATATTGCGAATAAACAAATTATGTTAATTTAACATAAGTAAAGCTTTAGAAGAAACTAATCTAAATTATACAGACATTATTTATAATTATAACTTTTTCAAATTCCTTAATTCCATACTAACCAATGGAACAACTAATACTGGTCATTTATGGGAAGTCGTAAAAATGTTATGGCAATTTTTTTTTTAACTTGTAGAATGAAAGTTGTTCATTTCAATGATAGACTTGCCGTGTCCAGAGCTTTCGGGTTAATTAAAAAATAAACCTGTAGAGATAAAACACTTTTGTTGCGAATGCTTAAACCACGTTCTTTATAAAGCCTGACATGTTATCGTAAATTCCATTTCAGCCTGTAGAGGCCGCACAGTGACTTGGCCAGTAGAAACAGAGCGTCCCAGTCGACCCTGTTTAAGCCGCACATGCGCACACCGTAGTATACATCCCACATAAAACAAGAAACGACGCATTGCAGTCATACAGCTTTAGAAGTTATAAATTAACACGAACATTCATTACAAAATGTGAAAAGTTGGCTTTAAATCAATCGAACTGAAGAAAGCTCTGAGATATTTTTGAAACGTACGAAAATCACAACACGCACGCGCAATCGGCTGTCAAAACAAAGCCAGACTTTTGCGATGTAAACATGAACGAACGTAAGATCTTACTTTTCATCCTCTCAGTGGTCATTTATTGCTTGTATAGTGTTCACATGTGGTTCATAAAAGAGAGTACTGTCGAAAAAGTGGAAGCACCTCAAACGGTTACTCCATCCGAGAACATTCCAGATGTCATAGAATTTCAAAAGAAGAATGACACTATTGAAATTAAGCAAAAGATTAAACAAAAAAATATTCCTCTATACTTAACAAATGCATGCAGTGTCTTGGAGATATTTACAAAGAAGCCGTCAATAAAATGTGAACATATGGAGAAAGAAGAAGAAAGCAATGGAAATGCTATCACTGTAATTGGAATCACTATATTCCTAGTCATATTAGTAGTGAACGCAATACTCGATGTACTTAAGGTGAAAGAAGAGGAACGTGTGATGAGGAAATTAAATCCTAACGGCCAAAGAAGGCAATCATTAGCTGAATTTGCAAATAAAAAGACACTTCGAAGAGAATCGAGCAAGTTTGGACTTCAATTATTTCAAATTGCTGAATCAACAAAAACTTCCGATGAAGAAAAGAAAGAGAGACGCCAAAGTAGAATTTATACGAGAGGAGACTCCACGAATTCGTATTTGAGTGATAAAAAGACACAACAGAAAGAAGGTTCCGCGCCAAGTTCGGTTGGGGATACTTCTGAACCAAAATTGGTGAAAAGGCAATCCGTAGCGAAGCTTTTTGGTATGTCATAAATGTTTAATAATTGCATTCTTGTCACGCTCTATTTGTTATAATATCACAGAAAAAAATATTTGTCTTGAAGTCTCGCTAGAAGCAAGCAATCATGAATATGAATATGATTAATAGATTGTAATTAGAAATTTAACATTTATGAAGAGTGCTAACCGTGTATTGTTTATACATAAAGGATAAAATGTGTATTTTTTCATTGTTGGCTTGCCTAGCAACACTTCCATAATAAGAATATAATCAAATGCTCGACACTGTCATTTTCTCTTTCAAATAAAATTTAATGTTCTTGTTGAATGACTATCACCTTTCAATGTTTATTATTTAACTTCTGTGCCTATTATTTTCAATTCTCTGTTTCAAAACAAGGTCTGTCTGACGACTGAATAAGTTTTTCAGGTAATAAACTTTTCACACAATTTTTGAGTATGTCCCAGTTTTGGGCAAATCTTAATATTTTGCTTCTCTGATATATGCACTTTTCCTGCACGTTAAAAGTTTCTTTCATCCTCGCCATATATTCATCTATCTTTCCGATTATGTTGTATGCACACTTTCACAAAATTAAGTATTTTGCTATCTACTTTTGAAATTATGCGCAATTAAAACGATACCTGACATTGTTGCAAATAAAGTACTTACATAGATAGTAACATGTAGGCGAAAATTCTGCCGAAACGTTCAAAACTTGCAATAAAATTTTCTAAATTTTGCTGAAATCATTTTGGTTTTTTTTCAGCTTTGCTTGGCAATATTCAAGAATAAGATGCATTTTTAATCCTGTGTGGTAGTCTTGGAAAGTTTCCTGGACTAGGAAACGTATACACATACAGGATGTTAAATTAAAAAATATATGTATAGAAATCGTGTTAATTAGTGCTCCACTTTTACTGCTTATCAATTCACTTTACAGTCTATTGATCACAATGATTAAATCCGAATGGGTAGTCAAAGGGTAAAACATAAAGCGCACAAAGATACCGTTAGGTATTCAACAGGCATTATAATCTGATTGTAAGTATGAACATGTTCGTCTTTTATGAAATTTGATTAGATTAATTTACTTTTGTGTTGCGTGTTTAGTTGCATGCTTGCAACATAGAATTTCGTAGAACGAGTAGTGTGTAGATAATTATGTTATAATACTCTTAGGGTCGTATTCTAGAACTCTACTCAATGCTCAAGTCAGGATTGCACTGGAAACACAAGCACTGGAAATACGACTCTAATGGCAGGGACTTAAGTATGATTTCGAGTGCTTTAAACCATACTCAAATCCTGACTTGAGCATTGAGTACAGTTCTAGAATACGACCCTTAGATATAACACGATTGGTGTTGAATTGTAACAGACTTTGAAAAGGAGGAGGTACTCAATTCGTTTGTATTTTTTGTGAGTGTATGTTCAACAATCACTTCGATACTTGTGAACCGCCTCATTAGTGGCCGTAGAAAACATTTCACCTCTAAGGGTGGCAAATTAAGGGATAAATCCGGTTTATTGGTTTTCACCCATTTTCGCTAACCGAGTGAATGAATGCATGACTGAATGAATGAATGAAATATTCTTTATTGCACATTAAAATAAGCCAATGTACAATAGGCGACCTACTGTTAAGTAGCAATTTCTTCTAGGCAACCTTAGGATAGAAATATAAGAGTTGGAAAAGGGGGGTGCAAACAAAGTATATCTTGTACCGATATTATATAAGTAGATAGAATATATTGTAACCGATTTCGACACTAACACTCAGCAAATAGATGTTATTCCACAAACGTTTGAGGTGGGTTTTTTTAAATAAAAAAGTTATCACACTTCTATATTTACAAAAAATGGTTAGGGTTTTTGACATGTATTTTTCTGACCAGAAGCCCGTTCTTTCGAACGGTTGTACTTATCAATATCACAAAATAAGATTGGACTTTCGTCATTACGATTTCGCCTTGTATAAAAAGAGTTAATTTGGCACGAATCATCGTCGCCTCTAGGAGCATAGAACGCGTGATTTTTCCATCTCTCGGAGTACATGCACAAGCGCCTTATTTTTAAATTATAGTATGTACGTAACGAATTAGTTTCCAACATCCCTATACGAACGTATACAAATGTCTTATTCGAAATTAGTATTTTTTTATTTTATCTAGACTAGGCCTTATCTACCATTAGATTTTAACCATACCTTTCATAGTCTTCACAATTATCGATATTATTATCGATAGAATTATGTGAAAATGGGACCCAACATTAACAGGTGTGATAGTAAATGAAATAGACTTAGAAATATATTAAAAGATGTAAGAACTTTACTAGCACAAGATTTAAATATTGAAAAACGATATTATAGAACTACTACGATATTATAGAGGCACCTTTTTGGTTATAATAGTAAGAACTTATGTCAAGAGTCTGACATTACAGTAAGTGGTAAACTAAAAAAAATAATTGATTTTCAATTTTGAAAAGATTGGCATGCGTGTTACATGTACTCCTTTGAGTAACTACCACGAAAACTATCCAATTCTGATTGCGTTTCATTCACAATCACGATCACTCTAAATATCTCTAACTGTTCACTGTCCTTTTTACTGTCAGGAGCTCGTCCAGTCCCGATGGTACGTCGCTCTTCATTTCCCGCACTACCACTCAATCCTGATATACAAGCCATGATGCTGGGCCACCGACAATCCTCTGTTGACAGCGATGATGAAGACGGTAGGGGTCGACGAGTTCGGATTATTAGAAGATTTTAAATACTTAGCCCTACATATGAGAAACATGGACACCGAAACATAACGACTATGGCGTAAAATGTATTTTGCAGGTGAAAAACTAGTACAATCCACTGCACGTATTTTCATTCTGTACGTATAAAGAAATACACATTCCTGTACCTGTATACGACAAACGCCCTGCATGGCCTAAAGCTGGATATTTCTTTACGACTGCAAAAGAAGGCACAGCGATTTTATCATTTGATTATTGTATTTGAGTATTTGACAGCCACTCGCGCCCAAAGCATGTGCGGCCAGTTCGATATATTTTTATTTTAGACATATCACACAAGATAAATATCTATCTTACTTATTATAATAACTTGTCATGTCTCGTCATTATTGTTGACTTCTAGTCAGCTTTCTCTTTTATAAGTGTAAAATTTTCTGTCCATCGGAACGTATGTAAAACCACAAAGCTGTATATTAGAGATACAATTTTAACTTTTTTTTTTTATTATTTGCATATTATGCGGTAGCATCACACATTTGTATGTTATTTGAATTCGTAGTGATGGTTTTGTATATTAACATGTAGGTACCCATTGTTATAATTGTGACTTTTGACAATTTCTTTCTCGTCTGATTAGAGGGTTTTCAAAAAGGTCTTAATATGAGAGCTAGTAAGTAGTAAATCTATAATGTCAGTATTCATTAGGGATTTATTAATAATTAGACTATTTCAAAAACACTGCATTAATTAAATCGCAATTATTTACCGACTTAGAAACAATGGGTCAGGGTCACCCTGTATAATAGTGAGTTGGTACTGCAACCGAGTGTAGATAATTACAATTATTCATAATCGCCTTTAACGAAATCGAGAAGTATTTGGAAGTTAACTGTATTCTTGTGTGCCTAACACTTTATGAATATTAACATAATACAATATATATAATATAGATTTTTAACAAGTAGTCGAGAAGAATGTTGTATCTTTCGTCGTTTATCTAGGTAATTTAAATTAATTACAATAAAAAAGTATTCCTTTGAAAACTTGTACACGTGAGCCCCGTTCACACGGCATTGCACTATGAATGCACTGCACGTTTTTTTTTTGCAGTATTCGATGTGCGTTTATATGTGTAAGTTTCAGTACAAACGATGTACGCTTCACTCTTCATTCGGTTTCGGTTCGGATTTATAATGCACAAAAAAAGGTGCAGTGCAATGCCGTGTGTACGGGGTTTTGTATAGTAGATTATTCAACAAGGATGTAAAACGATCCTTTTGTCACGAGATATTTTGCCACATGAGTAAAGCGATCGCGGCTGTAGTTTGAATGTTCAGTGGTCTAAACACTGCTTTTCACTATACCTTACATATTTCTGCCGCTAAGAAGTCATGTAAGCGATCGGATTTTAACAGATAAAGGTGCTGGTGAAACTACAGGCACATGGGACTTGTCAACTTTGTCTCGCGGTGACTAGTGTAGTGTCCGATTTTCGCGATTTAAAACTTTGACTAAGACCGCAGCTATTATGGATAGGCGTGAGGTTTACCATCAGATCCCAGACTTGTTCGTCCCGTCACTTACTGTGTCCCATCACTACGTCACTATATCATAAAAAAGCAACAACGCTTAATTTAACATTCGTACATAGAACACAAAGGCAAAGGAATTCAAGGTATCAAGTCGCGATCTTTTTCTTATTCCTAACTTTATGTGCGCGAGAAATAAAAGTACATTTACTATTAAAATATTGTTTTCTCAAATAATGGGTAATAAATGTATAATAATTTCGTAGTAGGGGTATCTTATAGGCGGGCAGGGTGAAAGAAGCTAGGGCAGTGACTGTTACAATACTGCGCTAGGTTCCTTCGAGTTTATGGAGCAATTTGTCTGTCACATATAAACATTTTTTTAAATAGTTTCTGAACTCCTGTTATCTAATAACAAATATTTATTAAGTCTGATCTTATAGAGCTCTTCGAAAGTCTGATATCTATTATACAATTTACTAGTGATTTCTATAACTTATTGGTAATTTACGGTTTATCTATCTTTGCACCCAAAATGTATTTGAATAGTAGTAGACTTATCAATATTAATTTATTAAATGAATATTATATTAGTATACATTAGTGTTATTTTATTTCGGAAAGTAATTATTCTGCTTGGATTTTACACTTGTTTATAGCCGTTCTCAATGACTTCAGCTTCGTTTGTATCGTATCGCTCACAGTAACTCAGAGATGTGACAGTGTTTTGTGATGCTGTAAGGAATTAAACCAAATATTGTCGTAACTCAAAAACAGTGGAATTGTGAAAACACGATTTTAAAGTTCAAAAAATTACTGAATGAAAGCAATAAAATATTCTCATTTATAAGTGGACGAGTAACTAATATGTATAAATAAATATAAACCCATTATTCACAACAAGATACAATCAGTATTTTCGTTTTAATTTTCTAAATATGTTTTTTGTCAATTCCATTATTTTTAGATTACGACAGTATTTTTTCATTCATGTGCGATATGCCATGCTAAAGTCGTATTGTAAAACGTCTCGCTACGAAGAGCATCATCAGAAGCGAGGACAAATCACATCAGAGGAAGAAACGTACTCTACTGTAACTGAAATTCAGTGCCGTAGCACTTCAAGTAAGAAGAGAAGTGGCTCGCCGCCCGCTGCGGTTTCAAGTAAAGTCGCCGCCGCGGTGCGTGTATGAAAGTATCAAAACAAATGCAAGGGCCATTACAAATGCGGCACCACCAACGGCGCCGTGTGTTCCCAGCCTAACGGTTTACTTTGTGGGCGCTGGTTCCTGGGTTCGATTCCCGGTAGGACCAATTTGGGAAATGACTGTTTCTAAATTAGTTCTGGTCTGGGTGTTCTGAGCAGTACCTCAGAATTCCGTTGCTCTAGAACTCATAGAACAGGGAATTTCCTAGTTTGAGGTCAGGCAATTTGTGTGGTTGGCTGCCTGTCTGGCACATATTATAATTCTATTTATTATTATTATTATTATCAATTGTTAATGAAACACGCTGCTTACACTGAGAAACATTGACTTTGATCAAGTTAGTTTATCGAGGTGTCATAGGCTGCAATTATTAAAATTATTGCTCTAATCATAGTTCAGAATATGATACAAGGAAATAAGTTATAACTTCTCCTTCAACAATATCTTGTTTATTTCAATCACATTGCAATTTCAATATACCATTAGTTTAAATCTGACTATTAATATATTTTATGCATTGTACTTATAAGGGAGTCACCTCATTTATTAACGCAGAATCGCAATGCGTAAGACGCCTCAACGCCTTTTCCGCTCTTATTACATGGATACAAAGTTTTTTCTGACCAACTCAATGCGATTCCAAGTCGACAAAAGAGGTGTGTTGTGATTATTACGAAAAAATAATTTCTATATTTACTTTTTCATCGCCTACTTGCGTTACGAGAGAGTGATGGAATGGAATATTTCATAGCCCTATACTCTGCTATATCTCTATAGGTGTATAAGTTATATGTACTACAAGATGGTAATCATCAATTGATATAATGAGTTTTTCAACACAAGGTATGTAATATCTTAAAAATTTTGGGAACTCGTAGCATAACTAAACTAGAAGAACCCGTAGGAAATGAAACTATTTTTCCGGATTTAAATCGCGTATATTTGTTTTATATGTTATATATATATATGTATTCGTAGAAACGTCGGTTTGTTTGAAAAAACAAATATACGCGATTTAAATCCGGAAAAATAGTTTCATTTCCTATGTGTAACAATCGCAAAAACCTAAGAACTCGATATAGAAGAACCCGGTCATAGCTATATCCGAAGGCCAGATTTTCCGTCTCAAGCAAATTATGTTTACGAAATTGAAACGACACGTATGACACACTTTGTCACTACGAAAGTTCATAACAGTATACGATGTTCTTTCTACCCATGGAACCACCAAAACAATCTGTATAATGATTATTCATAAAAAGATAAAAGATCGAACACTAAGAAAAATTCCTTCAATCTGGTTGGATTCGAACCAGCATCTTCAGCATACCACGGCGACGCTTTCCCAACAGCTACGGAACGAACCAGCAGATCTGACGAATTTTTCCATGTCCTTGTTGCAAATTTTCGTTTTTGGTTTTTAACTACTTTTGCCGTGGCGCCATCTGAGACAAGTCTATGAAAATTTTTCTTAGCTAGGTATGTACCTTTACAGCGGTTAACTAGAGATGTCGCTTTAATAAGTATAATATGAAGTTTTTTGAATATCACAATGTTGTACTATCACGATATTCATTTTTTGCAATATTACGCCACTAGTTTGTTATAGTTATTAACACAATGATGGAACACTAAGAAAAATTCCTTCGATCGGGCTGAATTCGAAGCAGCGCAGCGTCTTCAGTATACTATGACGCTCTCCGAACAGCTAATAGTTAATATTTTAATTGAATCCAAACAGGAAGCAAAACTGTAATTTGATTACATAAAGTGGTCTATGCTATTGAATGGCCAGTGGATTGACTCTACATTGACTCACTTCCTCGAAGGAGCTAAAGAAAATCAGAGTGAAGTTACACGAGCCGACTGCATACAGTCAGCGTACAGTCGGTATGTAGTTTCCGGCTATATGCCATATGCTATTTCCACAGACCACATAAATAAAGCTATTTCGCAGTTATGATGCAGTAAGAATGGTGCTCGTGTCGTTACGCACTAAAATATAGTCAACCGTTCATGCTGGCAAATATTAAAGATGGCCTACTGCCCAATCATCACAATATGCTTCGTGTGCCCTCGACCTGGCTGCGGAGACTTGGAGCTGAGCCAACTCTGTCGATACCCACAAAGATATCGCTCTTGAAACTATTGCTTTATACCTCGAAAATTGTACCGTTAATTTTTATTTTAACGTATTTATCCAGATTTTTCGCTATGCGACCTTTTGTTGTAAACGTCGCTATGAATTATATATATGAAACTAAGTAGCAAAAAAACAATCATGGCAATAAATAATTCTACAATTTGTATACTATTAACTACATGTTCGTAGAATTTTATGCAAAACATATCATCGAAAGACCTACGAAGACGTAGTAAAGTCGAATGAGTAATTGAAGATGTATTTGTTATACTTTTTATACGAAAAAATAACTTTATCTGTAGGTATGTTAGAAATAATAAATTACATATAAACGAAATATATTAGAGCAAAGACCTTGCTATAGTTTTAAAAATAATTCACGTTACCCAAGCGCGTTCTGGATGCAGTTCTACTGGCGCGAGAATCAGGAAAGCTCGTCTCACATGAGTCACGAAACAATTGTATGAATTATACGACACTGTCAAAAATTTAAACGAACTCATAAGTGAAAATTAATAGTGACAAGTGCAAAGTGATCTTTAGTATAAATGTTCTATTTGGTTCTATACGAGACTCTGAAAGCATTTGAAAATACTAAAATGCTATTGTAACTTTTTAGTGCAATGCTACCAGCTACAGTCCTTCATTGGAACTATAGAGGATTTACTGAGTTCCCCTTATATCGACTGGAAGGCGAAGAATCCGATGTGACCGATATTTATCTAAAGGAGAATCTAATATCGCGCATACCAAGCGACATTGGGAAATTAGTTCATTTAGAAAGCCTATATCTAAGTGGTAATGATATAACACAATTACCGAGGGAGATATCGAAGTTGCAATGTCTGAAATGTCTGGACCTCAGCGGAAACAGGCTGAGATGCATACCAGATGAAATCGGGGAAGTAAAGAGTTTGAAGTTTTTGATTTTAGACGAAAATGAATTGACTGAAATACCATTGAGGATAGCAGAACTGAGATTCCTTCGGTATTTATCAGTTTGTGGTAATTAAGTTTCTTTAATATTACTTGTAAACTTCATAAAAATAAGATTTGAAAAAAAATGTGACGATAGATAGTTTCCATTAACCATGTTGAATTGACAGTAGAATCTACAATTAAAATTCTGCTTGCCGAATTCGCAATGCAGGTCTAGATTTGCAGAGTAAAATACAGTGGTAGCCTAATGGTTTGAGCTACAGCCTCTCAAGCAGAGGCCGTGGGTTCGAATCCAGGCTCGCACCTCTGAGATTCTCGTCATTTATGAGGGAAATTTAATTAGAAATTTACAGTGAGCTTATCGGTGAAGGTCATCGTGATGAAATCTGCACGTCAAAGAATGTTCACAACCCTCGACAAAAGTGTCAAGTCCTCGACCCAAATTAGACCAGAGCGGTGGAATATGGGTAGCGAGGAGACCCATGCCCAGCAGTGAGACTTTTAAATGGGTTGATGACGAAGGTTAAATAAGTTACAGCGTTGTTTAAATGTAGAAAACTTAAATCTTTATTATTATTATAAAATTATTATTATTGACTAGATCCAATCCATGTTTAAATGACGCAAGATAACAAGTAAATAGGGCAAACAAATCAATGAGGAAGTTCTAAATGTTGATTTATATCGGACAGTTTGTTATCATAGCCGTACCGTACCCGATCGAAACTAGTTACTACTTACTGTCTTCCTAAACCCCAAGTTTACGACCACTAAACCTAACTGGAACATCACCTAATGTTTATCAGGGATAGTTAATGTAAACATTATATTTACATACATCACGAATGTTTAATCTTGTTCTACTGTGAAAGTAATTACAAGAATCCAATAGAATATTTATTTCACATTATCATGTATCGATACCATATTACTACTATTTAAATTGAAATGTCAAGGAACATCGCCACTCATATCAGCAATAAAGTTAATATCGATTTCTTAGGTTTTTGGAATTGCTACACATTAGAAATCAACTATATTTTTTCAGATCTAAAAATCTCGACATTTGCATCTCATATATGTTTTGAAAAACAAACATGGCTGACGCAGCCGTGACCATGGGATCTGTGAACAGATTTATTCAGGCCTATATCACACAGACACACAGACTGTACCAACATGCAGTGATGTGATAGAAATCGTAATTGAATCAAGCGGTTTTTTAACCGATTTTAAAAAAGGTTTATGTCCTGCATTCGGCTGTATTATTTCGGTCTGCTCCGACATTTGTCATTCGATGATTCTATTTTCGTTGAAAGTATTCCACCAAATTAGGCAAGTTTATTGAATGTCACTCATTTTTCGTTAACGGATGTCAATATACATTCGCACATAGATGTAATTAATTCCATTATGATCTGATTATAGAAATGCCAGACCTATGAGAGGAAATCCTCAACGGTATACAACAATGTAGCGAGTTTGAGCTCGGATGATTTATTTTGACGGCGATTTTTATATACGTTTCAAATTATCGTTGAGGAGACTGCGATAATGAACACGCCGAAAGTGGATAAACAACCTTCTGAGGTCGATATTTTTTTAGTACAAAAAATTATAATCATTTAAATTTTCAGACAACAGGTTAGAATGGCTACCACAACGACCGGTGTACAATTACCACCATTGTGAATTTCGATTCTGGAGAAACACCAGTTTGAGGACAATTCCGTATTCTCTTTGGTACCATATGTTGAGAGACCAGCAGACCAGAAGCCTAAACATTGGGTAATTTATTATATCGTCTACTTAATTGCCATGTTTAGTAACCTACAGAGATCAGTCATCAAAAAACAACTAGTACAATACACAATTAACACATTGATGATAGGGAATATAACAAGTTTTTGTGAACTTAGGATCTTATTTCAGAACTATACTCAATGCTCAAGTCAGGATTTGAGTATGGTTTAAAGCACTCGAAATCATACTCAAGTCCCTGCCATTAGGGTCGTATTTCCAGTGCTTGTGTTTCCAGTGCAATCCTGACTTGAGCATGGAGTAGAGTTCTAGAATACGACCCTTAGTGATGGAGAGTTTGTTTAATACAATCAGTGGCACTAATATTCTGTGTTTTTGATTTGACGATTGACGACCTCCGTGGTCGAGTGACCGGTTTAACGGTTTTCGCGGTGTCGCCAACTCTGAAGTCCCGGGTTCGATCCCCGGCCGGTCAATGTAGAAAATAACTTTTCTATATTGTCTCGGGTCTTGGTGTAACACAGTTTGTGTTACTTTTGTTATTTCCGATTTTTATAACACAAATACTTTAGCTACTTACTTTGGCATCAGAGCAACATAATGTGATGTTGTCTAATATTTATTTATTTATACTTTTATTTATTTATTCACATTTATTTACATTTACATTTTGATTCAGTGTTGCCTTTTACCATATATCAAACTTTTGGCAGTATTGCCATTTGAACCACTGTTTCTACTAAATATTTGAAGTTATCTTTTGCCTTTCCTCACTCAACCCGCTGGAGTGGGATATATATGGATTAATACAGAAGTACTTATATGCATCATGGTACTAGAAGATTGATATAATATACACATTGCATTATCTCTGTAACTGATTTCCATTTTCAGATGTTTAATTATCCCAAAACATCAACAAACTTTAAAAGGCAATCGATGTCGTTTAAAATTTACACAAAATTCACGTGTATGGGATATCGACTTGGACTATCCACCCTATAGACACGTGCAAGAATATTACGCTTGTTCCCCACCGAGTCTCTACGAATTTACCAAAAGAAAAATATATCAAATAATTTCCGACACCGCAAAGAAACTATCTACGAATGGAAATAATACAAATATATACTTGTATTCTTACAATAGTTTCAGTGATCTTGAAAACAGGAACGATGGATTAGAATCATACTTCGAAAACATGAACATGAATACTGGTGACGTAAATGGGAACTCATTAACTACAAGCAAAAACTTTGAAATAAACAAAAAAAATGTAAAGAAATATTTCTATGTGCCTGCAGATATTGTAAAGGAATATTTTGATTTCCTACCATGTTTTATAAAGCAAGACCTATACAATGGACCTATGTCGAAATGTGAAAATACCCACTGTAAAAAACCAGTGTTTGACTACGTTATTTATGAATATTGTCTGGGGTAAGCCTCTAAAATTGTCACTCCAGTTAACATAAGAATGATTCCGCAACGACTTCTTCTGTTTAATTGATGCTTATTTCCAAAATGTATTCAACGAAGTAGAAATTTTCCAAAGGTTTTTCAAAGTTACCGAAATGAAACTATTTTTGCCGGATTTAAAAATAGCGTATTTATTTATAAGATAAAAAAAAAGTTAAGCACTATACGCGATGTTAGGTCCGAAAAAAGATTCATTTCCAATATGTAGCAGAGACGACACTCTAAACAGTTTTTCATTGTTAATTTGAAATTGTATAAATCCAATCCAAGCCCCCAAAATACACTTTGAAAGCCAGTAAAAATCCATCAGTATGTACTTGCCGTGGCAGCATAACAGTTTGGCCTACCGCCTGTCAATCGTAGTGGACTATGGCTGAACCCTCGCCGGAGAGGAGACCCGTGGACAACAATGGGACGTATGAATTGGGTTGATGAAGTGAAGTATGTACTTGATATATATGAAGATTTTAACTTACATTGATTACTTACTTTCAGGACCATAACCTTAATAGATAAAACAGAACAAGTAATACTAAGCGCTGTGTTCTGTTCGAAATCTTGTTCTGACATCTGGAAGAGGGGGAAAAATGTACTCTCTTGGAAACTACTAAAAGATCACAGAGGAGACTCCTCAGATACAACTATTTAAAACTTAATAAAAAGGCCTTAAATAAAGCTTTTACACAAATACAGATATTTATTCATTATCGTAAGTTTGTTAGAAGTGTTACAGGTAATTTCTAAGAGTCTTTCTCCTGAACATAAATGCCATGGCCCTTCTGAAAGTATTTAAATACGCTTCGGACTCACGTTGACCGGAGATAGATAGATAAAGCATTTATTCAGCACATTACATATAACAAGAAAACGAAGGTTACAACAAATAATGTACTGAAAAGGTTTCAGTTCAGCACAATGCTGCCAATTTTATAAGTTTGCAGCGTTGATATTCTGATGACATCTAACTGATTACGCAAGCTGCGCGCGGCAACGAATAGTCGGCGGAGTAAGGACAATTTTTTCAGGTGGGGAATTCCGGATAGTTCTAACCTGGATTATTTATACGGTTCGAGTCAAACGATAGTTCATCTCACAGGTTCGAGTCAACCGATAGCCCATCTCCAGGTCACGTAGGGCCCACCGTGAATGAGGTCTTTCTAGGCGCCACAGCCGCGCAAATGATAGGATGAATTGTAATAGTCGTTATATTTTGTTTATTGCTTTTTGGCTGTTTTATTTTATTTTTAACTTTAAAAAAGGAGGAAATCTCGGGATCGGCTGCGTTTTGTTTGTATGTAATGCGATAACTCTTTTCATTCGGCATTCTTTTCTTGTTTTTTGTTGGAAAGAGGGCACCTCAGTACTGGTACCATTTAAATTTGAAGAAAATATTCCACCTCTGAGGGTGGCAAACTAGGGAATGAATCCGATTTCGCGCACTTTCTTTTTATAATAAAAAGCTATAATTAAGTATTTTATTGAATGTCAAGATGTTTCATCACCATGATATTCAAATATTTTTTTGTGAAATTACTGTACTACTTTCTTACAATTATTAATACAAAGATCAAACACTTACAAAAAATTCCGTTGCTTAGTTGGCATATCGTCTGGCACAGTTGCTAGAATACGTCGGTTCGAATCCGGCCAGATCGAAGGATTTTTTTCTAAATGTTCGTATTAATAATTATAACAAGTTATAATTACTTAAATGGATATGCAATATAAAGGGTGACACCCGAAAGCCGTGCTTTTAGGAGGTGATCAAAGATTTTATAAGTAAGAAATATAAAATATTTGCAGGTGATTCCATTTATCAATACGAATAACGATTATACACTCTTTTCCGCGATAAGAGCAAAATGCTCACAGTAAACGCGGTTTGTATTGATGGTTGTTACCACCCCTGAAATATCTCACAAACTTTTAAAAGTGCTCTACACAGAAAATATCTTCGTTCTAGGCGGAGTTCGTTTTATTTTTATCTCCAGATAGTTTTTTTCCGTAGTCATCTGTCAATCATTATGTTCTTTGATCTATCTATCATTCAACTTATTACGTCTTAGCCTTATTGATCAACTGCTGAAAATATATAGCAAACTCGAGGATATCCCGCGCTCAACTGAAGATGGTCTACATAATTATATACCATCAACCTCCATTTTCATCAAAACAAGGAAAATATACTAATATTCATGAAGAGTATTACCTAGTATTACCTACCTAAATAATTGAAGGAATGTTAGCCATTTTTATATTAGATCGTAAGAAGCATTATCGAAAACATTTAATTTTTGTAATGGGATACAAGGAAGAAATTACTCTCAGTCTTGGCTGTACGGCGGTATAGTGCCTTTGCTTTTTCCAATGGAAAAAGTACCAAAAAAAAAAAGAAAACCGACTGGCGCGTTTTGGCAAATTTTGTGAAAGGAAATAGAATATAATAGAAAATAGAAAAAGAGCATTGTGAGCATTGCAAAACAGTAAATTAGACTTCAGAACTTTAATTTTTATGTTATTCTTATAAAACAGACACTGGCACAAGCCTATAAATTAAAGATTTGAAACATTTTTTTCACGTCATCGTATTTGCATTCAAGCATCATACAATGAAGAATGATGACAGTGAAAACAGTTTTCAATGCCCTGAGTTCAAAACGAAAAACCAAAGAAAAAAGGACCATGACTCATACTTTGAAGGGCATATCTGTATGGTTCCATCCGATAGAAAAGAGAAATACGATATTACACAACGTAATGCGATCGTCAAATTTATTCACAAACTAACCACCGTTGATAAGGGGGATATGAGAGCGCGATATTTGTTCAAGTATGAAATATGACTATAAATAATACTTTTAACAACACTTAGGTAGTTCCAATTGTTGTAGAATAATCTACACTAAAGTATTCTGCAATTCTGGCGTAATGATACACCAGTACAAATTGGAAGTAAATTAGTTTGCTACTCCGCAAACCCAGTGAAAGTTTTTTTTTTTATTTAATTGATTCTTCGGCCGAGCATCGAACAATTGACTCCTGAAGATGCTTCGTAGAGAGGCGAAACACTTAGTTGCACTTGTAGTATTTGTTTTATTAATTTTGTGCGCAAGGAGAGCGGGGAACTTAACTGCATGAAAAAATGTTCAACTTTAATGCAGCTATTTTGCCCGAAAGTGACTCGTGAGATTGTTTAAGTATCAAAAATAATAAAGAATTCGTTAACAGGTCTTATGCGGCATTTCAGCAAGAGATATGCCGACAAATTACCTATTATCCCTTATCAATCCACCCTTATAGTAAACTACGAGTATGGCTGGAGGCTTTAACAGTTTTATGTCTTTTTGTGCTAAATGCTTTTGTTACTATTTTTTATTGTGAAACGGATAAAATAAAATTTGTAAGTACATTCCTGTGACTTCGCGACGTTAGGTACCTAGAGACATCGTAATGAGCTTATAATATCATTGACAATGAGTCAGCGCTTCGCTCATTGACCCGTCATCATCATCACCCACAGCCCGGTTTCACCTACTGATATATGCCTTCCATATTTTGTGTCATTCACCACGATCCTGTGCTAGTCATATCCATCTACGGCCCGCAACTTTGACAATTATTATTATATTATTATTTATTTGCCACCATTCCGTTATTGCTTTACTTCATTTGTCTTCACTACGAAACTACTTCGCAACATATCCTGCCCAGCTCCATTTTAAGTTCGTTATGCTATGTCCTGGATCTTAGTTTGTCTTTGGATTTAGGTATTCGAAATTCAATCTATAAGTTTGATGCCGCACATGATTCGCTCCATGGCTCTTCACACACAGCCTTCTGGGTGGGCAGGACAAATTGATTGAACAAGCGAGGCTTCAAACATTGTATTCAAGTCATGTATCAACCGATTTCAGAATGTCATCTAGCTTACCGAATGTAGTCCATCCCAGTTGTATGCGTTTTGAGATCTCCTATATGAGATAATCAGAAAAAGGTGTTCCACATACATAGGTACATGTATAGATATAGCTACTAGGAGTGACAGAGTTGTTAAAACCACCAAATTATAATTAATTACTTTTTCGAATTCCGGACTTCTAGAAATGGTTTTACTGCATCGTAGTACAAAACGACTCATCTAGGAAGTCAAAGTTGGATTTTAAAGTATTTCTAGTAAGGCCATGAAAAAAAGGCAGTATCTAGATAACTGAGTTTTCATTACAGGAAACCTGCTTGGCGGAAGAAATAATTAATTTTTCACCTCACTAGGTCGGATAGACTTTCTTTCCCATTAGAAATCTGCGCGCAAAATCGTTTTTTGCACACTAGCGTGGAAAAGGTTTTTGAAATTCGTACTTGACGATGGACTGTGGTGCACCCAGTATAATATCATTGGGTGCACCTAACTTTTTCTTCCCTTGAAAAAAAAAGATAATGACACGTTCAACGACGCGATTTGTCGTACATTACTCATTTATGTAATATAAATCCGTTGGTATATTTTATTCTTATGATTTAATTATATGAATATTAAAGTATTTATTAAAACACTATATTATTAAATTTACAATGACAGCTAATGTAATAATTTAAAACGTGTTTATTAAATTATTTTCACTCGTCGAAGAACTCAAATAATTTCAATAATCACCTAATCACACAAAATAAAAGTACAAGCAAGAATATAAATTGATGAGGTGTAAATTCAGAACGAATCCGAAAATAAACTTTTTCTTTTATTAAAAAAATGGATGTTCTGTTTTTCTTTCATCTACCATATTCCTCGTTATAGTGAGGTGAAAAGTTGTGTGTTTCGCTCGGCAGCAAAGTTGTTTTGCGTCTTGTGCCCTGAAGCCCTTGGTAGGTTCAGGAATCTATTTTTGAACCACTCCCTCGTGGTTCAATCTTAGCTTCCTTTGCTTGCTCAGGTTTCAGTACAAGTACTCGCGTCAAACAACCAATTTGCAGCCTTGCATAATAATTAACTATTTATATGAAATTCTTTTGAAAGTCTTTGGCTTGTTCTATTTTTTTAAATGCTAAGTTTTTCGAAGAACATTTTGGGCATTCTGTAGAATGCCGATAATACATAATATGCCGATAAATTCCTACACATCTGTGAGTGTAACTAAATCCTTTCGAGTGTCGCATTTGATTTTTTCTATTTTATTACAGCAAGGGATTCAATTCGAGCGCCTAGAATTTATTTACCTTGTGATTATAATAGCTAACTGTTTTACTGGATACGTCGAAGAAAAGAAATCCGTGCATGTTGTTCTGGAATTGAAGAAAATTATATGGAAATATCTGAAAACCTATTTTTTAATCGACATAGTCTCCATATTGGGGAAATTTAACGCCCATGTAGCGAATACAATAATATCTGTACGTTGGGCAATAATACTAGATTCGGCAAAGATTTTAAGGACACCCATACTTTATAAATATTCAAATAATTTAATGAAAGTCAAAAAAGTTGGGGTAAGCTGACAGTGTTTTCTGGATGGATATTTCATTTTGTGTTTCCACAATTACATTTTATCATTACTATTTACAGTATGATTTCTGTAAAACGTGTACTTTTAAACAACAACAACAACAACAACAACATCATCAATCTTTCTTTGATCTTTAAACTTTCCACTCCGGGCACAGGGCACAGGTTTCTAAAGAGTGTTTACGTAAATGAGGCGTGAGGATTGGGCACGTTTAGCAATGGTTTCCAATGGTTCCAATATATTTAGAACAATTATTGTTATTAAATTTATATTTTAATATAATTATTTTTATTTTATTTTATTTTATTTTTGTCCAAAAAATTAATTGTCACATAAAAGCAGGGTTCTAAGAGATAATTATCATGATAATTATCTTGATAATATACCTTGGTAATTTATACATGTCTGTGTGGCCGAACGGTTACCGTGCTGGTCTGCCACGCAGAGGTCCGGGTTCGATTTATTTCTCTCGTGAGTTTGGGTGTAATTTGTAGTTGTCTATGTGTTTGTACACACACATAGACAACTACAAATTACATCCAAACTCACGAGAGAAATAAATGAAGACCATACAAATATTTCTCACGGCCACGGGAATCGAACCTGGGACCTCTGTGTTGCACCCGCGATACAGGTTTTCCCTAGTGCTACCAGAAAAAAAAGAATAACATTAATTTCAACAACAAAATGCTATCGCTAGGAATGTTGTGACATGTCTTGTGATTGTATCCAAACGTGTGAAATATCTCAAAAAAGTAAAAACCAAATCCTTTTCTCAATGATTTTTCTTCGTTTTTATTTATTTTACTCACTATTCAACATTTTTAGTCAAAAATTAAACAGACAAAACTATGACTTCATGTATAATTATCGGGTATAATTATATGATAGTTATCAAAGAAAACGAATCTTTTGATAATTTCGAACCCTGTATAAAAGTTTGACAAATAATTTTTTTGTTACTTAATTTTAATATAACGTACTAAATATTTTTTTTTTTTTTTATTTTTTTTTTTATAATAACGCACACACTCAACATAGCCCCGCACTAGGGAAATCCTGTGTCGCGGGTGCCATGGACACATACATAGACAACCACAAATTACACCCAAACTCACGAGAGAAATAAATGCAGGCCATACAAACATTTCTCCCGGCCCGGGAATCGAACCTGGAACCTCTGCGTGGCAGTCCGGCATGGTAACCATTCGGCCACGGAGGCAGTTATATGCTCATTAAAAATATTTTTTTAGGTGAGAAAAGAAATGGCAGTGCATGTGGCATTACTCCTGTACTTGTATCTGCAATGGAATATATTTTTTCAATTCGCTACAGAATATTATGGAGAAGGGACTTTTTTCCCTGAAAATCCAAGAAATTGTTCCTGGATGACTACTGCCGGTTTGTGGAATGAAACTTTATCCACAAAGTTCGTGTATTCTTTACATAGAGCTGGTTAGTAGGCCAGATATTTGTGTAGTTTCACATTTTTTATTATACCTTAAAAGATAAATATCATGTTAAGTCGCTTTTCATACTATCTACAGTAAGATATCAAGAAGAGTGAAAAATATGACATCGTTGGTCTGTTTGAACCTTGGGAGCTGTATGATAAGCTCTCGTTACTCTTATACTATAGTACAGGGTATTCCTAGTTTTAGACCAAATTATTGGAGTGGGTGTCTGGCACGTCATCATCTATCTGATACGTGATATCGTAGAGACATCGAGTATACAACCAGGGCTGGCTCGAATATATAACAGACGGCTGTTCTATTCGGTGGTGTGGGAAAAACGGCTAAACGTCTAATTACTAAACAAACGGAATCACATTTCATCGGTAATTAAAATATTAAATATGTAATTTTTCAATTGTAGTCCATTATAGCAAAGCTCAAGTTAAACTGATCCATTTGAAGTGAAACAATTGACGACACCCGTCAAATGTTTCGAATTCGGGCTGGCCAATCAGAGCGCAGTTGTGACCGTAATGATTTGGCAATAGTTTTCAAACAAATTAAATGACATTTCGTCTCTATGTCTGGTTATGTACTCGATGCGTAGAGACTAAACAACAGATTATAAATATCGTAAGCTGATCATTTTAACTAATGGCATGATTTCTATTGCAGTTGCCATGCTACGAGAGAATACCGGTATCATCACCACAACGGAAGCTAATACAGGATGCTTTGAATATTTTTTCATTATTTCTTGGATTGTAGCAAAGGTACATGAATAATGAAAAAATAATAAATTGTTGTTGACTACAAACATTATCCAATTAACCAAAACAAAACGGCTGTTTTCGGCACCAGTTGTATGTAAAATTGATTGATATTAACCATAGACAACTAAGTAGGTATGTACATAACTGATATTAACTGCCTATCGCTATCAATATATATTAATATCGACATAATTCCAATTACATATAGCATAATATCGAAGTTTCAAATATATTACTTATAATAGTAAAATAATAGATAACAATTCGATTTGTTGATGATGTCGTGGTCATGGCAGAATCGCTGGAAGAACTTGGCACCTTGTTCGGTGACCTCAATAGAGTTTCCTATTAGAGGGCTCTAAAAATGAACATGGACGTGCCGGGCTATGTTGAGTGTGTGCGTGTGCGTTATGTTGCATACCTGCTAGTTCTCACGGTGCACAACAGGTTAACAACAGTGGGTTGGCTAGTTGTACGTTAATGAGTTTTTTAAATAATATTTAGTGACGGGACTAACAAGTTATGCGCCTGATGGTGAGCTACACGTCTGTCCATAACAGTGGCACTCAGAGCTTTAAATCGCAAAGATCTGAGGGGCACTGTTACTGCGCCCGACACTCTGAGACATAAGTTGACAAGTCCCATGTGCCTGTAATTTCACCAGCACCCTTATCCTTCAAAACCGGAACATAGTAATGCTGACATGTTTGGCGACAGAAATGGGCGAGTTATACGTTGCGTAAGAATAATGCATTACAAATTTATGTGTTATTATAATAATGACCACCTCTAATCACATTTTGATTAAATGAGACTATCAGTGCAAGTGTTTTATCCCACATGCAGTTTTTTTCAAGAATATTACATTTAAAGTAATGTTGTAGAAAAATTGAATGTGGGTTACACTACTTTTGCGCCTGATAGCCTCTAATAGCCATAACTTGGAATTATAATGATTTAATTAGTCATTTATTAAACACTGAAAACATGTAATGATATACTTTAGAGACTTTAGTTGTATGTTGCAATTAGAACCAATTATATTGAAAGTAATTTCATTGACATTTTAATTTTGTTGTTATCAATTACGCCGCTAAACGCCCCTGCTGGTGAAGACTAGCATTGTTATGATTTTGGCAAGGAAAAAACGAGTTCCCATGCTGACGTTTAAAAAGGAAAAAGGTTTTGAGATTCATAATCCTAATTTGGTTTTTCAGGAACCTAAATCTCTTGACTTTTCCCCTGCTATGTACTTAACTACTGTTATTTTAATGCTTGCTGTTGATTGAAAAAATTATATACAAACCTGATACTGATTTTCTTAGACCTATTAAAAAACCACTCGAGTATTCGGTAGCAGTAGAGCTCCTTGTGAGAGTTCGTTTAGTGCAGTACTGCCACCTTACTTATCACTGCCGCTATGCAGTAATGTGAGCATTACTGCGTTCCTGTTTTCACGGGTTAAGGGAGCTGGTGAAATTACAGGCACATTTGAGTTGTCAACTTATGTCTCAGGGTTACGGGTGCAGTGGCAGTGCCCCTCAAGATCTTTGCGTAAATCGCAATCGCAAATGTTTAATTACCCCCACTAATGTCCTTGTTTCCGTATCAACTATGTATAGGTAATAAAAGCAGAAAGAAGGAAGAAGAATTCCTCACCTTTCCCGTACGCATCAGGAAAGATAAAGTCAATTTATTTCTTTTAGATAATCATCCTGCAAGGAACTTTCAACTACACAATAAAGGCGTTCGGCCTTGAGTCAGCCAGAGCAAAATATTTTATAATGGCTAAGCAAGTCCAGACGTTCATGGAACTTAGAAAATTTCCACCCAGACTTAAGAAAAAAATCCTAAAATTCTACGCTATCCGATTCCAGTCTCATTTCTTTGTGGTATGAAAATTATTTAAAATTTAATTCCAAACGCATTAGTACTGCAATGAGCGATGTGGCATAGCCCTACACATAAATTGCACTGTGTTAGCTAGTTCTAATCACACTATATCACTCAACTGCTAATATGTTTTGGTTTGCTATTCTTTCTCACTCTGCAATAAGCGGTACAAGTCCAAACCGCGACATACTGCTGGTCTCGTCGTCGGCGTCGTGTCTCTTAACCCTTAACTATAGTTGTGGGTCCAAGTTCGTTATTTAAACTCGCGTAGGAATCGCTGTAGGCGACGCAGCTCTTCCTACTCCTCAGTACCTTCCGATGTCACGCCAAAGCGCACACTGTGAGATGGACGTGTTTTGCTCGTTGCTCCAAACTGGAGTAATGGTTTACACGTGGGTCCAATGGACCCACGGCTATAAATACGTAAGTTTTTTGTGTGACATATTTTATCCATTTTTGTTTTTTAATTCAGTTTCTAGTCATGCGAATCGAAAAAGTATCTTAGTAATTCAAGAAGACATATTACAGCAATGGTTGAACACTGATTTAGACAGCGATGATGAAGAAATCGCGAAAATTCTATATCTGCACGCAATGCTATAACTTCAAATTCTGACTAACAGTTTTCAAATAATAACGAGGATTTGGTCGGAATTAGTGATCATGAAATGTTTTGAAATATCTGATAGCGAAAATCTAATGAAAATAAAGTTGAAATTATCTTTATGTGAACCTTACATGATCTGCCTATTTACATGACATATGTAAAAACTGTGTGCTGTTCATGTTTTTAATTAGGTTAAATTGCACTAGTTTTTTTTACGAGGTGACATTTTAATTTTATTTTATTTTTGTAAAACAATATATTTTCAAAGAAATGAGAAAGAAATGTAAGAAATAAGTTTTGATTGTGGATTTTGACATTTGTTTAATTTTTTATTGTTTTTAGTTGACCTAGTTTCAGTTTAAGAAAATTACTACTGATATAAATAGATATTGATATATATGTTCCTACCGTTAATTTTATACAACACAGCATTTGTTAAAGTTCAAATAATACTTTGAATAAAAAAATATTATATACATATATCATCATACTTTGTATTTTATCACCATTCCAAAACGCATGTGTCCATTGGACCCACGACTATAGAAGCGTTTTTTTTTTCCACGACTATAGTTAAGGGTTAAAGGTGACGACTGACCAGGCTCATATTTTTCTACATTTACTTTTGGTTATAATGGCCCTACCTACCTACACCTAAAGTATACGAGAAGGGCACTATGACCTGTGCGAGCGAACCCGCACAGGGCCTATCTAAGTTAGGTCCTAACCCCGGATCAGCACGTTTGCACGGACTTCATTCCGGTTCTCTGTAAGCCTAGTGCCTTAGGTGAGCCGCCCCGGGTGCAAGTACAGCACTCTCTCTATTTTCCAGATAGGTACCGAAGATGTAGGCTTGCATACTTTCTGTCGCGCTCAACACGACTAACGGTTGCCACCGTTGAGCCGCCGCCTCTAAATAGACTACAAATCTCCTCATTGGTGGCGGAGCTGTAAGGCACGCTCACTTCCCTACGCCGAATCATCCTCTACTAGCTCTCCGGATTACTGACCAGTTAATGTCAGTGTAACTTAACATGTTACGGTATCAGCATTCGTACAGTCAATGCGGCGAGCCAACCAAGTTCGCCACCAAAGCTCGAATGCTGCATGCAAAATCAACCGCTTCGCGCAGCGCAACGCTATGAATATGCGTTTATGTTACATCGCTTTAGTTCTTAAGCTAATTTGTAATCTGTTTGTATAATAAAATAACGAAATGGAAACCCGTATGAAGAATTCAAATAGGTAGTATTTTCAGCCAGACCATACACGAAAGACTTTTGTGAAGACTTCATTTATTTTTATTCGTGAATTATGCCACGCGGATAAATAAATACACACATCAAAAGTGTCTAGGGATCAAGTGAATATTTTTGAAATAAAAATTATTTAAGCAATATTTACCAAATCCAGTCTTCCAGGACGACTTCTTACTTTAATGCTTATGTTTTATTTAACCGCTTACCCCTATATTCAATTAAAATAAACTAAAATTGATGTTTTTGCAAATTGTGGGAAAAAACTCAAATTAACGGCGTCAATTAAATGACAAAAAAATGGCGAAAATGATGATTTTGCTCATTTTTATTGTAAAGATAAGAAAATTTATAATCTGTATTTCCACCATTAACACGAATCACACAATTACAGCGATTTGGCATGCTTAAGATGAGTTCATCAAAATCACTTTGAGGAATGGCCGCTCATGTGTTTTGTAACAAGTCAAAATATTGTTGTAGAGTATGTACGGTATGCATACTCGGCATAGCTCTTCTTTGAAGTATATCCCATGCGTGCTCAATTGGATTGAGGTCTGGCGATTGAGCAGGCCACGGCAGAACGTTGATACGAGCTTCAGCAAGAATGCGTGTTACGACTCTAGCCGTGTTAACGTGCGTTGTCATGCATTAGTTGAAATGAATCACCCAACTGGCCTCGCAAAGGGATGATAACATCTGAAACAATCCTCTCTGCGTAAACTTGAGCATTGAGGTTACCCATGATCCAAATGAGATCGGTTCTTCCGCCGATCCAAATACCGGCCCATATCATTATTGTTCCCCCACCATATGGATGAACTTCCTGACAATATCTCAAACGTTCATGACGTCCAGATGTTCTCCAAACTCGAGTACGTCTTGTATCCGGTCTCATACCGAAGCGGGATTCATCCGAAAAGCACACATAGCGCCAGTCTTCTTCCTCCCAGTTTCTGTGTTCGCGAGCCCATCGTAAACGGGTCCTGCGATTGCAGGGTGCAATAGGTGGAACTCTGAGCGGCCTTCGGGATCGCAGACCCACTTCACGTAAACGATTTCGGATTGTTTGATCGCTTATTAGCAAGCCTGAGGAGCTGTGGAGCCTCGTAACCAACATCATGGCGGTCATGGTACGATTCCGTCGAGCAGTATTTTGGATATACCGGTCCTGTCTGCGAGTCGTGATGCGAGATCGTCCTCCATGTCGCTCGGCCACGCTGCCCATCATGCGATAGCGCGTCCAGATGCGACTTATGACGCTCTGTGTAGTGTTAAGAGTGAAAGCCACAGCACGTTGCCTGGAACATTCCGACGGCTCGCATCATCACTTCTCGGGTTAAATGATGTCGTCTCTCCATAATAATGTAAATTGTTTCGGTTCCGATGCAGATATTGTAATGATTTTGTCAAAACGCTATAACTCATTTTTATACAAAACCACATTGACAATCGATTTTCTTCTTATTATCGAATTTTAAACAATATTCCTTATTTAAATGTTAAAACTCACTAAAAAGTATCAATAGCGATACAAAAAAGTTAATATAATTAACCCTAATTGCAGCAATACTCTTAAACGTACTTGATCCCTAGACACTTTTGATGTGTGTATTTACTTTAATCTGAATATTATTTTCGTACAATATAGGAATCCCGTATAATAGCATGTATGTCAGGTCAACTCCGTGAAGACATTTTAATGCACTCCGGAAGGCAGCTTATAAGCGATGTAGAATTCTTAAAGACACTGCCACGGCAATTGCATCTACAGATTGGCATGAAGTTGGGAATCGTAATATTTATTGCTGGGGACATAATATTGAAAATAAATACTTCTGGTAAGTCAATGCGCCTAACCTCACTGGAAGGTTACAGTGAGGTAATTGCAAGTTAAATATTGTACACTAATAAAACATAAACTAATCGTGCACCATTAAAATTTGAACTGAATTTCTTTGTTACTCCGTAGGTAAATGCCGTAGACCCATTGAAGGTTAAATCGTGCTAAATAGTTACGCTTGTGTTAAAGTTTTTTCTTTCGACTCTCGGTCAAAGTTAAACAATCAACAGGTCCTGAGTGTTGAATTTTGATGGTCATGTTTGTGATTGTAGATGCGTATGTGTTGTTTTATGCGAAGCGTGGGTGGGAAAATTACATGAAAAAACCCTGGAGAGGGTTTCTGATTGGGGACGACTAAACTTAGTCCAATTTAACCCCATCAAGACACAAGTTCGCGCTTTCACCGCTAAAAAGACACCATTTGCTGTAGACCTTCAGTTCCAGAACAAGCCATTAAATATCTCGGAGAGTATCGGGATCCTTGGCGTCGACATCTCTTGTGACGTTCAGTTCCATAGTCACTTAGATGGCAGTTAAGCTGGCGTCCAAAAAGCTCGGTGTGCTCTCGTACAGTACGGTTTCAGAGGAGCTTTCTCCCACGTGCAATTAGGTTGTAGAATGAACTCCCTGTCGGGGTTTTCCCGCAGGAATGCAGCATGGAGTCCTTCAAAGGGGGTTTGAGAAGGGTCCTAAAGGGTTGCAAACGCGCTGTTGACGCACTGGTGTTGCATAGCGTTCATAGATCGCTTTCCATCAAGCGCACCATATGCTTATTTGCTGCCTACATATACATACGAGTATATATATTCAACACAAGCCCAGATTATTTGCATAACCTTCACTGAGTTCGTGCAATAGCAAATTAGTTTACTTCCATTTTTTAAATGTACCATTACGCCAGAATTGCAGAATACTTCAAAGTAGAGTATTCCACAACAATTGGAAGTACCTAATTATTGTTAAAAGTAGTTAGTCTTATTATTCCCTATTTGAATAAATATCGTGCCCTCCTTTATCCCTTATTAATAGTAATTAATTTGTGCATGAATTTAACAAACGCATTTCGTTCTATAATATCGTATTTCTTTTATCAGTCGGATTGAACCACGCGAAGTAACGCCTGAATTATTAAATTATGTTTTCGTGCACCCTCATTCTAATCTGTTTTACAGGGTGATATTTGGAAAGAATATCTTGTAAAAGAACTACGTGGTTTACTATTTTTCAGGAGACTGCATGTACTTCATAGACAGAGGTACAGTGGCAATATATTCAGAATCAGGGAAAGAAGTATGTCATTTACACGATGGAGACTTCTTTGGCGAAATAGCACTTGTAATGAAACATCGATTTCGAACAGCTTCGGTAGTTGCTGTAACAAACTGTGAGTTATTTCGACTTGAAAGAGCTGATTTTGAAAGCTCAATCGCTTGTTATCCTACTGTGCTTGAGGAGATTAAAAGAGTTGCAACAAACCGAATGGAAAAGACAAGGGTAATGGATGATCATTACAGGAGCGAAATTAGAGAAAGTATGGAAAGAAGAAGCATCGTTAATCTGTAGTTTTAATTTTATTAATCTTAAGTCTGTATCAAATTAGACGCTTGTAGAAGCCCTGCAGTCTGTAACGCTGCAGTAATTTTTAGTTCATTTATTGTGACTGCAAAAGTGGCGCTCGCGTGTCACGACAGTGGCGCATGGCGCTGTCTGTAACTGCGCTTCTAAATATTGTATGAAAAATAGTAGTGGCGCAGCTGCAGTGCAACAATGGCGCCACTGCAGCGCCTTTAAAAGCGTCTAATTTGAAGGTGCCCTTAGAGTTGGACAACTTAGACCATATTCCATACAAAATACGCACTTAGTATGGATACGGCAGTTCAGTGGCGTTCAACACAAAAACTAGGCAGTGTGGTGGGCAAAGTGGCTCTTAGCTGTACTCATCGTAGACGCTTTACTTATTACTTCCTTAGTTATAGTTACTTAATATAGATTTGATTCTATTTTTTGTTGAATAGCTTAAATTTATAAGAATTCTTGGTTTATGTGTGTATTTTAAATTGTTAGGGAAGAATGGACCCACGGTTTTTTTTTCGAAATTATTTTCCAAGAACATAAATGAGATTCTGTTCTTATGGTTGAATTTATCTACGGAGCGTAAAAAAGTAGACCTAGTTTTTAAGTTTATATTTTTTCCGTTATTTTGACTTTAAGATAAAATAATAAAACTACTAAGTAAAATTCAGAAACTTTTATTAATAATAACCAGCCACCGCAACCAAATAAATAAATTTATGTGAGAATTTAAAATACTGTTCGTGATGTAGTGTGTTTTCATAAGATCTGATTTTTGATCACATGGTCATGGTATTTTTATCACTTTTATAACAATAAATATTTCATAGAAAACTAGAACCTCGGCAAATGTGTATATGTCAAACTTCCTGATAACTACAGCAATATAAATAACCTTCAGTCAATAAAAAACGCTATTTGAAAGCTTAACATAAGAATTATCAAAGTGATATGTCGATACAAACAAAAAAGGTCTTTCAAATTGTTGTTTGCACAAATGTCATTAAAGTATATTGAATAGGTAAGAGGGTATAGGCACGCGGAATAGGCATTCTGCTTAAGAAACGCAATATTAACAACTTCTTACAAAAAAACTTGTTTACACTAAGCGCGCACTGGTAAAAGAATCAACGCAGATCAAGCAAAATATTTCATAACTTTCACAGATTTTGCGGCAAAATTCCTCTCAGAATTTTACCACAATGCGCGCTAAGCCTTACTTTGATAAATCATATGTTGCTTTCAAACTTAAACAATGAACGACAATGCTTTGTCGTTACTATGGAATATAATAAATAACATTAGGACTCGGAAATTATTCTGAATCCAATAAAGCTTATTTACCATTTATATTGGTAACTTTTGTAAACATTGCGGAGGTAGAGCCTTTTAGAATGCGTTGCTTGATTGGTACCAATTATATTTTGATCATATTGGACGTAACCACGAGGAACAATATCACCGTATACTGACCGAGGCGCAAGTCCGTATTTTGTACAAGAGCTGGCATTTACGTGGCATGACCACCAGAAAAATAACTTTGACTCAATCTTTTAATATGTTGTACCCGTATCTCATTCCATATCCATCCATCAAGAATCATAACAATACAGTTCTATTTTGCAGGGTTCGAAATTATCTACATGTTTTTTTTGTTTGATAATTATCAGGTAATTATCCGATGTATATTCGATAATTATCCATACTGATTCATAGTTTTATCTCTTTGATTTTTTACTAAAAACTACAAACAAAAAACTAAATAAACACAAAGAGAAATCTTTGGAAAAACGATTTCGTTTGTGACTTTGTTTGAGATTGGCATTTGACACGTTTGGAATTTGGATATGTCTCTGATACAAACACATGGCACGACATTGCTAGCGGTAGCATTTTGTTATTCCAATTAATTTTATAAACATCAACATAATTTTATAAAGCATATTTATCCAGATAATTATCAATGATAATTATCAATTCGAATCCTGTTATTTTGTAAAGTCCAAATTTCCGAGTCGTCGAGTTTTGGGAAAGTTGACGATTGCGTTATGTACCTATCAGTAATTTTTTATTTGACATTACAATTCTCTCGCTTATCGCTCTAATTAAAAGTTTACCTTAACCCTTTGACTTACCAATAAATGGACATTGGCTCCACGCAAAAAAGTGTCCGAACCTATAGGGCATTAAATCGCTAACAGAGCATCAATCTTCAATTGGTCGACCGATAGCGTGCTTGTAAATCATGGTCGTACTGTATAATAAAAACTTGTAAAAATTACATATGAATTACAAAAACAATCAAACAGCTAATTGTCCTTGTCCTATGCATTACATGAACAAAAGACAGCTTTCTGTCAGACCCATGACATCAATTGCAACCACAAGCGATTGAAATATTGAGAACAAAAAATTATAGAGTCGCTTCAATGTTAATCTTATTTTTAAAACGATATTTTATTAAACGTTAGTAATAACTAAAAAATATTGTCATACTCGTTTTACGGTATGGAGTTCTTAACAGAAGTCCGAAAATACGTATGTCCAAAAGAATTTTCATAAACATAAAAAGAAAATTTCAGGTTACGTTTAGTGGGAATCTAGAAATTCCACGTTTCTTATAGCTCGTCATTAAGTAACAAACAAAGAAACATAGTTAGTTTTAGATTTATAATATTTGTGTGCATATATCTGCACAAGTCTTTATTTATTTCTTAAGTAAACTTGTATGAAATTATATAAAATAATATTGACAGTATACGCTACGCCATTACTCTTGTGTTCAAGTAGTTTTCACTAGAAGCTAAATATGGTGCATTTTGTTAAGATTCTAGTTTCTACTGGAAAAAGCTTCAGCTTATGCTGAATATGGTGAATTTTAGGGTCTTTAAATTGTTGCGAGCAAAATTAAGCAGTACTGCAATGACATTACAATTTAAATTAAATGTTTTAGTTTATTTTATATTTCATTTCATGTCACCAAGTTTATATAGGTAAACTCCGGACATATTTTTCGTGGTTTTTGGATTTGACCCAACATCCATTTGTTGATAGGTCTTAACTTTATTTATAAGGTTCACATCGGTTGAAGGTTGCGTATTTACAATTAGATAGTACTACAGTTACATGTCATAGTAGATCTATAATAAACAGGTAAAAAAATAGTCTAGTTGATACCATTGGATCACAGTTATTTTTTGTTGGTAATTGTACGGCGTTCTCGCCTGCTCTAGTTTCGCGGCCTTGCGTCATTTATTTATTTAACTCTTTGCAAATATCATTATTTGATCAATAAATTTGTAACGCCTCTGTCAACTAACGGCTAAAATAATTTACTTACATCATCACATCACATAATTTTAAAAATATTTCTCTCACTTTATTTTGTGCTATGAGGAATAATTCACACTTGAGCTTATTGGAATCACTGTACGAAGTAATGTCCTCCTGAAGGTACTTGATAGTATATTTCGTTTAAGTCGTATAGGCCAACAACACTGGAAAAACAAAATAAAAAAAATTAAATGTAGGTCGCCTATTGAAAAAAAATTTTATGACACGAAATTCTAAGACTAGATGAGCTACATATGCTCCGACTGTCTGTAGGGCTAGCATAATAAGGCGCGACAGCGACAGATACTGCTATTCTCGCAAAGATATCTCGCTGTTTACGTCGCTTTCGCGCAAGTTGCGCTTTATCTTGCTAGCCCTACTAGTGGCATTGACATTCTATCTTTTCAGCTGTGTTGCCAAAACTTTTGACAGGTAATTATACTTCGTTTCAATCCATTTTGAACAAAAAGTACACAAACAGGACATTGACCTTACCATAGACGTGACATAGTGATGGCCAATTGTAATGCCAACTACAAATCGATTAATTAATTGACTGAATTGATTGTTTTAATGGAGTCGTTTTAGCGGTTTTCCCCACATAACCTAGAATAAGCATATTTGAAATTTCCGAAATCTTAATTTTAAGCCCTCCTTCAAATCCTTACACTTAGATACTCGTTCGATTGCAATTGAAATATTCGATTGACTAATCGATTACAAAAACTTAGATTGAATGAACCGAATGTTTGTTTTCGTACAGCACTATGCAACCACAGACAAGTCATAGATGTATAGAAAAATAACCTCATTTTTGTACCACCATTTTTCAAATACAATTTTACGATGCTATTCAAATAAATATTGTTGGAAAAAGTGATGAGAAATCAAGTCGAAATCATCGAAATATACGTGAAAGTGTTACTTATTCGATTTATTCAATGATTACCTTAGAATTTTAACCAAACAGGTTTGTTTACTTTTTGTTGAAAATGGATTGGAACAGACTTTGGTGGAAACGGTGGTTTAAATGGCAACACTGAGCTGGAAAGACAGAATTAAACGGGTTGTCGTTATTTTTACGCGGAATTTAGGAAATTTTAAACAAACGACAAGAAGAGACATTTTTAGGACTTTTAAGGAGCTTGTCCTATTATTACCCTGCCAAACAATATAACTTGTGTTTGTGTTTCTTATTGAGCTATTGCTCGGGTTATGTTCCTATATCAGGATGGGTTATTTTGTAGCTTGTTTCACACCTTTTGCTGTAGGGCCCATACATAAGCGGCGGCTATGAGTGATTCTCATCGTGGACCACCTGCCGATCACTGCGCGTCATGTAGAAGAGCACACACGGCGTCTTCCACCATGCACCGAAATGGACTACCTCCTCCGCGCACACAGGGACAATGCTATAACATATCAGTGTTTAGTTAGAAACTGATAAATACAATCTCTGTTTTAAAAAGACGTTGTGTTGCCGACTGTTCATTGCAGTGCAGCAGAAACACTCAACGCATGACCGAGCTTTTTTATTACAATAATCAAAAGCCAGTTGGTGGCACTTAGGTGGGGTTAGAGCAATTTTACAATCTGAACCACGTCACAGTACATTTACGAAATTAAGACAGTCATCTTCATAAAGTCACAAGTTAATTTAAGGGGCAATGTATACGCTTTTAAAGAAGGTTCTGTTTAAATGATTCAATTTGTGATTTACAAGTATAAAACTGTAGTAAAACAAAAACTATATACTAATATTTTACAGCTTTTTCTTATTTGGATGACGATTATCCTTGCTAGTGACCTGCTTAAAGGTTGCATCAATATTTGAAATAAATATTGTAATAAATACGTGTACAAGAATAAGTTTTTTATAAAGCAACTCCTAGAGTTTCTTACTCATTCTTCTCAGGTAATCTGCCTTACCAATAAGTACGATTTCAATGTGTAATTTGGTTACCTATGAAATAAAGATATTTTTGAGTTTGAGGCATGCAATTGGTTCATTCTTGACTTTGACATTTTATTTCATCGTTGTAAGTGAAACAAGTGCTTACCATAAATCATTGAACAAATACCAATGCGGTTCAGAGTCCTTAGACGCGGTTTGAACATACGCGACCAGATTTTTAGGATTGTCCTCTACGCACACCACTGCCGCACATAATGTGTATTCCTCCTCAGATTGCGTTGTAATGTTCTTCTTTTTGTTCTTCTGTAATTCTGGTTTGGGAGACTCGGTGGGTAATTGATCAGCCTAAAATATGCAAGAATTTATGTCAAAACGTTAAATTAATTATAGTTGTATAGTTGGCGAGTACCTGCAATATTAAGTACTTTTTACTTTACTTTAAATAGTTAAACCTTTAGAGCTATAGACGCGTGTAGAAGCGCTGCAGCAGTACTGCAGTTTTCGCGTCTGTGTCGTTATATATTTTATGAATATCAGTAGTGGCGCGGCTGCAGCCGCCACAGACTGCAGCGCCTCTACATCTACTTTGAATGCGCCCTTTGAGGCTAGTAAGTCCCTAAGGCCCTAATACTAAATAATACAAACGAATTTTTAATCTATATTATTATAAATGAAACTTACCTGTTTCAATAGGTTGAAAATATTTAAGAAAGGTTCATGGAACAGGCAATACGCAAAAGCTGTATTAATGTTTTTTGGAATTAAGGCAGATTCACGTTACACCGTGCCGGGTCCGAGCCGTGCTCCGGTCGTACGCCAGCCGTGACACGGTCAAATATCCATAGTATGCTTTTATATGAACTAATGTTGTCGTGTTCGGGGTACGGACTCGGTCCGGTCTAACATGAATTGGTTCAAATAAAAGCATACTATGATATTTGACAGTGTCACGGCCGGAACACCGGCCCCGGCATGGTGTAACGTGAATCAGCCTTAACTGTTCATCTGTACGTTTCGCACCGTACGACAAATACTGTATGATATTGAGCGTACTTCTCCCAGTTGCAATGAACGTAAAAAAAATGGTAGAAGTTTTTGCTCGTATTACTTCGTTTATCATATATTGCGAAAGCAAAAATCGCTATAAAATTAAACCAATTTCATACCTTATCAGTGATAATAACATCTCCATCGGATTGCAATCTAATCACAAGTTGATGAGGTAGAACACAATGCGACTCATGCGTCGGACTCTTCAACGAATTGTTCTGAGAAGAGATTGGTCTGAAAAAGATAAAGTAATTTATTTATAGATATAGTACCAACAACAATTTAAAAGATATAAGGATAATTAAGAGCCGTGGTAGCCATGGTTTGACCTACCGTCTCTCAAGTAGAGGCCGTAGGTTCGTATCTGAGCTCGCGCCTCTGTGTGCGAAATTAATTTCAAATGTACCATGAGCTTTTCGGTGAAAGAAGACATCGTGACGAAACCTGCACGTCGAAGAAGGTTCACAACCTTCGGAAAACGTGTGAAGTCCCCAACCCGCATTGGGCCAGCGTGGCGGTCTATGGCCTAAACTCTCGCCTGAGAGAAGATACGTGCCCAGCAGTGGGACTACAGGTAAATATGGGTAAATAGGTTGATAATAATGATAATAAGCACTATCCAAAATTTTAGAAAAAAATATTAATATTAGACTAGTGAACTATTTAAAAAAGTCGGGCATCTTAGTACACACTCAATATGGTTTTCGAAATGGTAAGGCTACTGATGATGCAGTCCATGAGTTGGCAGAATATGTTCAAAGTAATCTAGATATATGTAACAAATGCCTTGCCATTTTCTTAGACTTGGCAAAGGCATTTAATACCGTATCGGTGCCGTTACTTTTGAAAAAGCTAAACCAGGTAGGTGTAAGGGGATTGCAGTGGAAGTTACTGGAGGATTACCTTAGATTATCGTCTCCAATGCATTCAGGTGAGTAACTATACAAGCTTAGATAAGCCAGTTTGTTATGGCGTTCCACATGGAAGTATTTTAGGCCCAACCCTCTTCCTTCTGTATGTTAACGATATCAGCAACAATTTACCATTGGAATTCGGCCAGCTTATATCCTATGCGGATGAAGAAGGAAGAGACTTACGACCGGGCACAAAAGGGACTTAATAATGTTATAAAATGGTTACGCAATAATATATTAGCTCTGAACGCCGACAAAACACAGTACATTTGTTTCTCCATTCGTAATCCCAACAAAATTTCTAACGTTCTGTGTATTAAGGCACATACATGTCTGCAGGATAATAGTGGAAAATGTATCTGTAGCATACTGAAACAGGTTGAAGTAGTTAAATACTTGGGAATTCTTATTGATGAAAATTTGAGTTTTAAAAATCATAAAATAAATCTGAGTGGAAATATTCGAAAGCTTATACATATTTAAAAATTTAAGACATGCTGTAAATTATAAAATTCTAAAACAAATCTACTTTGCTCTATGTCAGTCATTGATAACGCATTGTATTTCTGTTTGGGGAACTGTTAATAAAACGACTTGTAATGCCCATTGAAGTAGCCCAACGTGCAGTTCTTAAAGTAAGCACCTTTTGTCCCTACCATTTTTCAACTACAACCCTTTATGAAAAATGTGAAGTGTTGACCGTTAGGCAATTGGCTGTACTTTCAATTCTACTCAAACAGCATAAGGAACTTGTGTAAAATATTAAAATTGATGACAAGCGCAGACATTATAGTTTGTACACAACCTCGCCGATTTCGAACCACATTTGCAAAAAATTTTAGGCCTTTCTGGGATCACATTTATATAACAAAGCAAACAACATAATTGGAAAATATAAACTAAACACTAACAAATGTAAAAGCGCTTGTAAAAGATGGCTTCTAACTTTGTCTTATAACGAAACAGAAGACCTTTTGAGCGTTGTCTCATAAATAATATATTTATTATGCATGTTGTTCAATCCAATTCGCGGTTTTGGCAATGCTGACTTGTTGAATACAACACGTATTATATTATTATTGTTATTATTATTATTATTAATATTTAAAATGTTTACAGTGGTATAATGATGATAGACCCTAGAAATAAAATTTCATAGGACTGTAAATGGTACAATGCTTTTATTCTTTTTGAGTCTCTAATTTGTAAGATTCAACTCCTTACTATGTTTGAATCTGTGGATTGTGAAGCGGCATTTCAATATTTCTTATTGGTGCTAGTAGTGTTAAAAATATCTTGTGTAAATTTTTTGAACTTGTATTTCTGAGAGGTGGGAACCTGGTGGCCTGACGCACAGGCATTTTTTTGCTCAGTTTAGGCATCCGTCTCCCACAAAATTATCCTTACCAAAATCTAACGTGTAAACTGTTCCTAGCTATAATATGTATTTTGTGGACGAGAAAATAAACGTTATTATTATTAATGACTTTAAACTGCGTTTTATTACATGTCAAATGGATAAAAATCACAAAATCATTTTGAGCAACTTTTGAGGTGAAATACTCCTCTGTGCGTCATCCGCTTCCTGTGCGTAATGCGTAATATTTATAAATACTTGTGAAAAAGTGTTATTTTTGACATATAAAGTTGATCTCAAGTAAAATAATTAATTAAATTATTAAAGTGCGTAAATGTTATTTTGTTTTTTTTTTTTGTTAATATTCAAATTTTATTAGACTAAAATAGATCAGTACAATGGACGTTTCTGTATATTTCCAATTTAGGACTGTTTCTGCATGTTCTAGGAGGATTAGGATAACCTGATTCTTAAAACATACGTCAGCCAACGTCACTTACATAGCCTTAAAATTTACAGGCAAAAAAATTGGCATTTTTTGTAGCTTTATGTGTGGTTCAATTGGAGAACTAACTAGTTATGTTTACAAAAGGGTACCTGTCAAGATGCTTGAAGCGACATCCAGGTCGTGCGCAGTGAAGGCCATACCGGCACGGCTTACTACTGCCACCTCTCTTCGATTCAATCTGAAATTCGAGTCTCTACAATCGTTCGCTTGATTAACAAGTTGTTTCAAAAGAGGCAACATTCCAATCATGAATACGTGCCACTTCTTTATAGATACATGTAAGGGATAATTTTTTTTTTGAGTTGGTAGTTTTTTCAAAATTGTCAAACAAAATGAAAAATATTTTTAGAAAAGGTCCTTTCGAAATTGTATATAAAAAATCATTTCAAAGAAACTTTATTTCTAAAATTTTTTGTAGGGATAGAGTTGAAAGAATTTATAAAAGATTTTATTTACCTACACCATATTATTATGTTCGTTCCATCGCATAGAATATAATAATTAAGGCATTAAAATGGCGGCGATGGTAACTATGCCAATTTTTTTAACACCACTCCAAAGTGGTCCCACTTTAGAAAGATTTTTAAGGGAAATCGATTTTTGTGAAACTTCCGTTACTTCAAAATAGTTTTCTATATTTATTTATTGAATATCATAGTATTTTACTAACCATGATACTTATATATTTTTTGTGAAAACACTCCACTAGTTTATTATTATTCACACAAAAATCAAACAACACAAAGAAAAATTCCTTCAAGCTGATTGAATTCGAACAAGTGTCTTTTGTTATGCCGGGGCCACCGTTTTTTAGTGTTTAGCTCAGGTGGTTGGTTGGCATGGCAACAGTAATATTTTCTTTACAAATAAGTAAAACAGATACTGGTTCGTGTCCAGTTGTATAGAAGGAACACTTCTTTGTGTTGTGGGATCTTTGTACCTTTCTATGTCAAAAATTAAAAAATGAATTAATCAAATGAACAGTCGGTCTTTGTTGATGAAATTGTAATAAGTGTAAAAACAAAGCTTCCAAACTTACCCCGTCCTTCGGACTACCCTTCGCCCAGTAAGCCTTCTCGTGCATTGTCACCCCGCCGCAATTTATCGCAAGAATTGGCGGCAATCTGCAAAACAAGGGACAGTTCTTTAAATGTACGCATCAATAATACTTTAGATCTGGTGTATCACCTCACTACACCGATGTCGGCGACGACAATGAAGCTAAGTAAATACAAAGAGACGTTCCTGCCTGCCTCTGCTTCCTGAATACAATCATCATCATCGTCGTAATCAACCCTTTTTTACGTCCCACTGCAGGGTCAGACGGTCTCCTTTCAGAGTTTAGGCGTGCGCCTAATGAGAATTGGGGACTTCACGTGTCTTCCGAGGATTGTGAACCTTCTTCACCGAAAAACTCATGGTAAATTTTAAATTAATTTTTGCGCATAAATTCGGATAAACTCAGAGGTGCTAGTCCGGATTCGAAACCACGGCCTCTACTTGAGAGGCAGTAAGTCAACTAAAAACATTTATTAATTATAATTGTAATTTAAATGTATGTCGTCGTAACAATTTTATTTTTTGAAAATTTATTGTTAATTTATTAAAAATAGTTACACAAATATTCTTAAAACTTTATGGCCACAAGGTTGCTATAGAAGATTCACAAGTTTTAGTTCTAGTTTGCCTGTGAATGACTACATCGTGGTGAAGGTGGTGGTCTTCTTGTTGTGTCGATGTTTCTTTTATTTTATAATTGTGCCAGACAACTACACCTTTTGCGTGCGCCCCGATTCAGAACTTTTCGTTATTTAAACCGATTCGTTCGATTGGATGTCGTTCTCGAAGGGTGCTTTCCGAGCCATTCAGAACATTCCGAGTTAAACGTTCGATTCGGATTCGGATACGATATCGATATCCAACAGCGGTTACGGAGTTAGTCGGTGAAACAGATTATCATAAAAATGAAAATGTACTTTTATATACATTTTTAAGACTTTAATGGCCTGAAATATAAAATACATTAATAAAGTTGAGCAAAATCCAGACTTTATTTAAAATAATAAGAGATTTCCCTATTACATTCTTGCTTTATAAACAATAGGACGTTCGGAAACTTTCTTTCCATAACTATGTTCTGAATAACGATTGTAGCCATTGCCGGTCGAGAAGCTCGAGTAATCAATCATACGGGTGTGACGTCATTTCGGTTGGGTATCGAATACGACAGTTTGAAGTTCAATTCGGGTGTTGTGAATAAAAATGAAAAGAAAAAGGTCGAAAACTGAGTTATCGTAAGGTTCTAAATCGACCCCCTGCTCTCACTAGGGATCCTCTGTACTATGAGTACCAGATCCACTAAGACCAGAACCAATTTAGAAAGTTCATATCCCAATTTGTCCCACCGGTAATCGAACCCGGGACCTCCTCATCCAGCGTCCACAATATACACAACCACACAACCATAGGGCCAACGAAGACGTCAAATACAGTCTTTGAGTATGTTGCTGCTACCTGGATTATGCTGTCTGTGAATGAAGCTTACCGCATAATGCGTCCCCGCTGTGTAGTAGGCGTGAATCGTGAACACTGATCGCACCACGCTGGCGTGCTACGACGTGCAGCTAACGACGCACGAACTAACTCTGCGAACCCTCGCACCTCCCCGCTGACCTCACCCCGCCCCGCGCCTGCCCCGAAATGGCTGTACTGCAGCGCACAGGCCAGAACTACTGACTCGCGTTCCTCCTACGAACACGATAGAAGAGCTTTATTAGCAAAATGTAGTAATCAACTTGAATTGCAAAACTAGCACCTCTTTGTCGCTTTAAATGTGAAGAACAGTTAGCTTTTTTAAAGGACCATTTTAGGCAAGGGTTTGCACCAATAACTACTAACCTCCTTGTTACATTTCAAACACCTATTTAGCTGATTTCTGCCGATAGCGAACAACTCCGATATATCAGACTCTTCTCTCTCCGATTGATGATTGTTTACCAAGTCGTGGTTGACACAGTTTTGAACCTGATTGTTATCACCGGCTCCTACAATAAAAAGTGATTTATTCTGATGTTTTTTCTAAACATCGCATATGGAGAAACGTTCAGTTGCTTAAAACCCGATCGACCAAATACATTAATAAGTGAATAATTTTTTCATATGCCTACCTTCTTGATTCTGACTAGTATGCCAGCCATCTTCTCTTACTTCTTGAAACTCTTCTTGACCATCAAATTCCGCCGACCCAAGAAATTCCAACTCCGTGTACGGATACTCTTCATACTGCCCGTTGACAGTAGGAGTGGCAACATTCCTTAGCTTGTTGTTGGCCAATCGTTGCTTCGGCGGACTTGAGTTCGCTATATAAGCAAGTTCTTTTTCCTTCTTGCGCGTTTCGAGAATCTCGTAGTGGATTTGGTGGAGGATGAAACGGTTCCAACTCTAGAATAATTTAAGATGACTTTTATAAAGATAACCTTTACCAGTAGGGCTGCGCGAGATACTGCTATTCTCGTATAGAGATCCCGCGCCTTACGTCGCTCTCGCGCAAGTCGTGCCCTGTCATGCTAGCCCTACTGTACACATATTTAGTATATAACGACTACTTTTTCAATCCCTGGTTATACGCTTCCCAACATCATCTACAGTTCCCATTAACCAAATGTCTTACGTAAATTTCAATTTTAAGATAAAATAATCGTAATTTATCAGATTATCACTGACAGCCTGAGAACACACGAGGGGCTTAATTTTTAATATTTTTCGAAAGGTGTGTCGTCTGGCGGACGTGATGTATACGCGCTGCATTCACGACGCACAAGCGTTCCACGCACGTAACGCGCTGTTAGATGCTCCTCTTTAATCAAATCCCAGTGTCATAATCACAGTTCAGCTCGCTCCTCGCAGTTGTAAACTTGTTTTTGAGGATGTCGGACGATAGCAAGGGTAACGAGTGTTTCAGTGTTGAGTTTCGGATCGCTCCATATTTTTGATGTAATTATATTATTACAACCTAGATTTCATTCTAGGGATTTAATTTTAGAAATAGTCTAAGAATTTTTTTTATATTATATTTCTACAGGTTTAACAATATTTTATACAGTAAACATACTGTATAAAATAAAGTTATGTTAAAATATTTAATAATTATAATTTAATTTGTATTTATAATTTACATGATGAACATTAGACTATACTAAAGAGAATATTTATATTTAATTACATTTTTATTGAATTGATATTCAATTACGTTTTGTGAAATTATTCCACTAGTTTGTTATAATTATTAATTAATACAAAGATCCGAGAAAATTCCTTCGATTCTGCCGGAGTCGGATACTCTGGCACGGTTTGCTAACTAAGCATCTCATAGATGGCGCTACGGCTAAAAAGTCGTTGAAAATCAAATACAAAGATTCAACAAGCACATGGAAAAATTCGTGAGGTCCGCTGGTTCGTTCCGTTGCTCAGATCTTTGTGTTAATAATAATAACAAACAATATTTATATTATTATTATTATAAGATAGATAAGATAAATTTTCTATTACTTTACTCTGTGAAACTCACCTGTATCAACGCTACCAAGTCTACTCTCGAGTCTGCACCTCGGTCGGGTAAAATGAGACCCAATGCCGCAGCTTCGGGGACAGTCCGGAAAGCTCGCAGGAAGTTGGTTGCTTGACACGGCGCTCCGCCTGACGTGTCCAACATTCTGAACAGGAAGCCTAGGAAGTCATAGAATATTACTTTTGTAAAATATAATTTACTTTTATTAATTTGGCGTGAAACGAGACGCTTGCACCCATTTCCATAGCGTCCTACGAGGGCTACCCTAATGACATTGACAAGAATTCACTGTACAAACGGCTGTTAAATAATAATCAAGAATTTAGTCTGTCAGTCTCTAACGTATGGGTAGCCTCCACTGACATATGTAATAATACTTAGACTTGTTCAATCATGTTCACAAACATGTTCTTACACAAGTAGCAAAATCACAATCAAATGATGCCTAGAAACGTTACAATTATTTTAATATTTAAATTATAAACTTAACTTTTTTAAAAGATTGTATTATTTCGATATTGTATATTAATGCACGTGACTGTACCTCCTATACTCCTCTTATTAAATATTTTTAATGTCTTATTAAAAGCAATATTACGGTTATTGTTTAATGCATTCATTACTTTTAAATTTTCAATCATAAATTAATTTTTTTTAAGTTCTTAGAGTTGCTTTTAGACTGGATTTACATTACTGCACAATCGAATGGCAGCAGCGTTTTGTGGCGAAATAATACATTGCATAATAAACATTATGTCAATCGTGTAACACACAAATGACAAGTTCATTGACAAGTTCATTATGTTATATATAAAATAAACGCTTCCATATGGAGGCAATGTAAACTGAGCCTGACGTGGGTAATTTTATGAGCCCATTGATAATGATATTGACAGTATATCGTTCCAACACTATTGGAAGTGGACCACCCCATACATATCTAATTAAAAAAATAAATAAAACATGTACCTGTGTCGTTCTGCAGCAAAATTCCTGGAATTTCAGCCCATCTGTATCTTTTCATCGGGAATTTGAAAGTAAAATTACAAAAGGGCTCATACCTAATTCACAGCTGAGACAAAACTCTTTAGCGCATGTGTGGGCCAATAGAGTAGCTTTTACTGGTGGTATGTAATATAGGACCTGCAACAGAATTTTTTTCCTAAAACCTGGAAAACTACACCCAAGATATGCCTTTACACTTGCATCGATGCAATATTAAAGAAAAATCTGACATGAATAAATTGTGCTTGGGTTTATTATTATTATATTATATAAGCACAATTTATTTATAACTCATAGCTTATAGCTTTATAACTCATAACATCATAACTCATAACTCATCATACAAGTTATAGAAATAGATATGATATGATAGAAATAGAACGCATACTTCCCGATATAATGGAAAAAAAGGTATTTATACCGTTGTACGCGGATTGGTGGGAGCAAAGGGAAAAATACAAGATGGCCTGAATATGGAAAATATAAAAGAGTGGAAAATATAAAAGAGTGATAAACAGCCTGTAAAAACTGTAATATACTTATGGAGTGAACGTTTGTGCACTTTTATGAGGTACACCCAAGGCAATTTCAACCATAAGAAAAAAATGTTCGAAATTAAAATAAACAAAATGGCTGCCATAGAAATTTCAAAGGCTTTATGGTTACTAAGATGGTTTCCCTGTATCTTCTATGGTTTCGAATTTCCCCATTTTGTCCCTTTTAAATAAAAACACTCAGTATATTGTTCAATAACTTACAATAATACTTATTTTATCACACATAAAGCATTTTTCAAAAAATATATCCAGAAAGTACTAAACCTATAGAAATATTTTGTTAGGAAGTACAAAATGTTTCTATAGACAGAATATGCGTTTTTTTGTATAATACTGGATTCATATACTTGACATAATATTGCATAATTTTTTTTGTTTCTGTACATACTTATAGACTGTTATAATCAGGGTTCGAAATTATAAAAAATATTTATTTTATATTATCATGATAATTATCCGATAATTCAATCTCAATCCAATTCCATTCATAGTTTTGTCTCTTTAAATTTTTACTAAAAACTACAAAAAGGGAAAACTAAATAAACAGGAAGAAAAATTTTTGCAAAAACGATCTGGTTTGTTACTTTTTTGAGATTGATATTAGACACATTTGGATACGTCTCAGATGCAAACACACCGCATATTGGTGGCACTTATAGCAATTTGTTCAAATTAATTTTACAAGATATATAATTATCAACGACAATTATCTCTTCGAACTTATAATAAAAACTAAGCCTAAAATGTACGAACAGTACCTGTAGCATGGGGTTGCAGTAGGAATTAGGCAACGTCGCTTCAAGCCCCGGTAGTCCCGATTTGTTCAAGTTCTCAAGCTCTGCGTTATCGTTGGATGATTGTTTATTGTAACGAACATCCATCTGAAAAAGTTATTGTTCCTGTGTACTCAAATATGGCCGTCATATAATGATCATGTCGATCGGTTTCGAGATTCTAATACACACCTACCTTTTGATAGTGCTTGGGAATAGGTTGAGGAACAATCTTGATCTCCTCTTTTTTGGGGGAATTTAAATCTTCTAAAGTGTCTTCTGTGTACGGCATCTGGAAATTGTAATTAAACATCGTTATTAATAACTCATTCCACACCCCACTGCTGGCACGAATCTCCTCTATGGAGAGGACATAGTTCGCCACACTGACCCGGTTACAAACACGTTTTCCTAGAGCAGAGAATCTCCAACATGCAAGTTACACCTCTATGTTTCCCTACACCGTTAATAAGAGGTTACTGTTACTAAACATTAACAACTATCAAATTTTTTTTTAAATGAATACAACAATTATCAAAAAATGTTCGTTTAAAAACCAATTCAACAATTATCAGCAAGTACTTTTATATTGGGTATCAATTATTTTATTATAAGTATTTGTAAAGAAAGCAATGATACCTGATTTCTCCTACAAGTTTTATTGTTTGGTGCGTACCCAATAGGACCTTGCATTTTCATTGTTTTCAGGACTTCTGGATCTATAGGTTTCGGTTTCCTGCCAAATTTAAAAACAACGTGATGTGTAGAGAAACAAATACTTTTTTACATCTACACTAACTTAGTCACAAACTAAATGTACACAAAAATAGCTGGTGTTTTTAATTGAAATTAAAAAACAAAAATATAATAAAAATATAATAATATAAGTAACATACTAAATGCAAAAAGCTTGACCAAATTTTGAACAGCGAAGCACTAGAAACCTTCTTCTTCAGTGAAGCCTATTATTGACCAAATCAAAACAGAGAAGGCGTTTTATCAACTTTTTGGCACTTCAAAATAACGAAATATTACTGGTTGCTATGACACAACACTTCTCCACTTTGATTGGCAATGTTGAGACCTGTGCTTTCATTGCTGTTCAAAATTTTATCATGTCTTCACATTAATATTGATAATGTGTCAGACAACCATGTTAATTGTCTGGTGTCAAACTAGGAAATTCCCTGTACAATGAGTGCCATAGCAGCGGAGTTCACTTTTATTGGCACTTCCCAAAACATACAGACGAAAACCAATTTACAAAAACCGAACACTCAGAAAAAAATCCGTCGATCCGTGTCTTCTTGCATACTGTGCCAGACGCTATACCAACTAAGCCACAGAACGAACCAAGGGACCTCACGAATTTATCTATGTGCTTGCATCGTGTCTTTGTACTTGGTCTTTCAACGACTTTTTAGTCGTAGCGCCATCTATGAGAAGCTTAGAAGCTAAACACAATACACTCAAGTACCTAAAAACTTTCTTGAAGAACTCAGCCGGCAAGTCGTTGAACCACTTACTGCCGGTCGTCAGAGAAGGTAGTGGAATACTTGAGAATTGGAATGTTGTGTCATTGAAACTCACTGTTGGTAGATCAGGTAACGGATCTCCGAATTCTGTGTCTCTGAAATATGACGATTGTTTTATTTAAAATATGGACCAGTAACCCAAGAGGACAGCCATTCTTCATACTACAGATCGTCGATCGTAACTCTGAAAGGGGTCAAAATTCCGTCTTATATCTAGCTGGTGCTGATCTATAGCCTGGAAGTAGTTTATATAACGTAAATGGCCTTGGATATCAATTAATTCGTCTTTAATATCAAATATAAGAAGTCGCACGGACAGCTGCTTGCTCTATTTAAAAAAATATAATATATTAACATTACCATCATTGTATATTCTAGAGTCCATATTATTTGTCAAAACAAACCCTAATCATGTTAAAACTACAAATTAGAGTAGCTTTGATAAATTGCAGCTAGTAATGTAATACAAATTAGTCAAAAAAATAGCTATTTGGTACTCGTCACGACATCTAGTGCACTAATAGGTACTAAATACCCGACTACGGTGTCTTGTATCGCGATTAGCAGTTCTCTTGAGTTACTGCTCCATGATTTTAAAATATTACCATTGTTAAAACTAAAAATTCACAACTATTCGATTGTAATGAACATGGGACACTTGAGGTAACGAACATTTGACGACCCAATATGCTTAAAGACACTTTAGGTCCTCTTACCTTGAAAAATTATTGAAAACTGGCTCATGGTTATGCTGGGGCGAAAAGAGGTGCAGATGTCCTGACTGGTCTCCAAATACCAAAGCTTGGCTCGTCGCAGACACGTCTAATACACTACATACTGAATTGTTTGTATCCACCTGCAAATATGAATATGCTAATATTATGAAACTTTAAACATATTATTTACTTATTTATTTATTATTAACAGGCGAGCAGCTTGAAGCTGATATGCCTCAAAATGCCACATCAAAGCTACGTTGAATTTATAAAAATAAAGTCCACAAATCCAGAAATAGTCCTGAATCTTTTTGTTAAAGTGCAGAAAACACTAGAAGAACTCAAAGACCTAGAATACTCAAATTCTTCTTTTTTAACCAGCTGTCCAGCCGATTTTTGAAAGTGTTCCCTGAACTAGCATAAACACGTCATCAGCTAGCATTAATCTGTTCCACTTTTTAACTACTCTGTTTCTGAGGATGTGACTTAGGACTTATTCTATGGTTTAGTCACTAAGCTAAAAATTAATTAACAAATAATGAACCTACCTGAAAAATGGACTGTTCCTCATGCTCATTAGAATTGACGTGCAGTAAAGCTACGTGGCCGTCACCTGATAAAGCTACAACTCTCCCAGAGAAAGCAGGAACAAAGTGTAGTAGAAGAGGTGGTGATGCCACCTGTATAGACCAGGCGCCTTCATTTTCAGTGGTATTACCCTTGAGGCAGCGTACATCCCAAACTATTACATAGGGCTCCGCCACAGCTACTCCATCGACGCTGGCAAAAGCAGTGACAAATATATTATTGGCACATTATCACAGAACATATTATACTATAAAATTTTATAAAAAGTTTGTGCACTTTGCTTTATATTGAAGGTACACACACCTGTTTACAGTTTTACACTGTTTTCATGCAGGGCAAGTGGTAAGATAAATTTAAGGATCAATATAATATAAAACAAAATCGGAATTCTTAGAAATATAGGATAAATATCACATAAATTATTTTTCACTCTAATAACATATTTAGTAAAACATTGACTTACGACTGGGTAAAACCACAAGTAATTAAAAGGTCACCACGCATATCTAAATCAGATAGACATGCGCTGTGGGCTTTGAAGGTATGTTCGGCTGTTTTAGGGCTTCTTAAATCGCGTAGTGCTACCATGCCACAGGCGCTGCCACAAGCAACAAGAGATCCCCCACCACTGCGCAAAACTGCACAGCCTTCTTCTTGAATTGGCTGTAAAAAATCATTATCATAAGGGCTAGTGTGCCTGATTGCGTGCATGCAGGCGGTTGTGCGTATGCGTGTGTGAAAATACTTACTATCACAGTTTCTTTCATTTTTCCTAAATCCAAATCAATGAGTTTGTTTTGGTGGCCTCCTATCAAAAGCTTGTCTGAGCTTTGTTGGAACAAACACTGCATGTCCACCATATTACCTGACCTGTAGTACAAAATTAAACATTGTACTAAGTGAGTTAAAGGTCTCATTTTAACCAACTCATATTCACACACCTGACCTTCATTTCAATATTATGTAACCATGTAGTAAATATTATGCAAAACTAATAGGTCTGCAGTAGCCCTATACGTTGTAAACCAGTAAAATTATATACTTGTTTCACTGATTTTGAGTTTCTAATATGTGAAACAAGTCACTTAAAACTACATATTGGGCGAATTTACCAACCCATTGGGTGAATTTTCCTTAATTTATAACTTAACCCAAAACACTTAATTTAGAATGACACTTTACTTACCTAAATGAATGTTTGGGAATACCTCTTCGAATTTGATGTCTCAAACTTGACTTTGTTAAGCAATAGATACCTTGCTCCACAGTAACAATGTCTCTCACTTCTTCACTTTCATGAATTTGGAATGACGTATATTTTTGCATACTTGGCCCATAGTAAGATGTTACATGACCCTAAAAAAAAAAATTCAAAAATTAAATAGACTAAGGCTCAACTCACACTGGCGCTGAGTCGAAGCGTCGCGTCGCGTCCTGGTTCCCAACTACAACGCTTGGCGACAAACGTCGCACAAGCTCGCATTAGTGCGCCCGGATCACAGTGCGGATCACAGTGTGGTCGGCATCTGACGCCTCACTGTGCTCAAGTGAAGCCGCTCGACTGCAACCAAGCGTTGACGCCCGTTTCCATATTTGCATAGCACAGATTTGTACCTTAATAATGAGAAAATAGAGATGAAAAAACATGACGCGTCGCAACGCTTCGTCTCTGCGCCAGTGTGAGTTGAGCCTAAGTTTCAAGTTCAACTTGATGAATTTGAAAAGTTGAAGCCCAGGGAATAAGCCTCTGAAAATAGGATGACAGACAAATGGGTTAACTAAGTAATACCCAAGGGGAAATATTCACATTGCTAATTTTGATTGTAATTTGCAACCAAACTTGATATTGTTGTAAAACACAAAATATTTAATGAGACAGATCTTTTTTTTTATAATACTCAGTGATGGAATTAACAAGTTGTGTGCCTGGTAGTAAGCGACATGCCTGTCCCTAACAATTGCAGTGCCACTCGAAGCTTTAAATCACAAAGATCTGAGGGGCACTGCCACTGCGCCCAACACCCTGAGACATAAGTTGACAAGTCCCATGTGCCTGCAATTTTACCAGCATCCTTACCCTTCGAAACCAGAATGCAGTAATGTTCACATTACACTACAGCAGAAATTGGTAAGGTGGTAGTACTTCCCTGAGCGAATTCTTTCACAAGGAGCTCTACTGCTACTAAAAATCTTAAATAGTGGAGGTAGAAAACTTAAATAGTGAACCATAAGATCTATATTGCAATATTAGTATAGGATGATAAAAGGAACATACTCCTTGATTCCCCATCCATATGAGTTCCTCATACTTGTCAAACGCAACCGCTGAAACTCCAAAACGGTCTCCTCCATCCACAAGTACACTGCTGCGTGCCTCATACTCTCCTTCCTGGCTTGGCATGAGGTATTGAGGAGCATATTCTGTTGTGTTATAGTGATCTAAAAAACGTTACTTTTATGACAATTATTTTAACTCATAAATGAAAAACAATTTACATCTTGAATAGTGACAGTGTAATTATTAAGAGTACAGGTGGACCCAAAAGGTCAATGACACAATGTATTTACCTTCTAAATCCAAATGTATAACACAGCTTATTTTTTTCCATGATTTCAATAGTAACAATTTTTTTTGTTGGTGCGGTAGAATTACCGATTAAAAATCTCACAAACCTTTAGAGGTCATCCTAAGTTATATCGATGTTACAAGCAGATATCTTTAATTTAAAACTATTATAATCTTTATTGCCATTGATAATGGTGATAACAAATTTTAATCTCATAAAATACAGTACAATATAGAGACCAAAACACCACAATTGTATAAAACATATTTTATAGAGCTAACTCCATCTGTAGTCAGCAACAATTGATTTGCAATGGTCACTTCACGTCAATCCAACTTGTTAACATAATTTAATAGAAAATTAGTAAAATACAAATATGTACCTAGCTATTTTATTGCAACTTACACCTCACTTGGAATATTTCCAATCAGCGATAATAATTTGCAATATCAATGCACCTGCTCGCAATTTTTCGTTTTCAATTAGCACAAGTTCCCCTTCACCCCTCAATTTTTGTTTGCGTGTCGTATTCAATTACTAGTTAAAGTTTTTAAAACTTAGGCCCCCTAGAGTCAACACTAACTCCTTTGATGTCTCACGACTTTTATTTTCAATATTATTCACACATATTATTGTATTATATTGATTATTTTTGTAAATTGTTTACTTACCTGTTAGAAGATGCTCCGTTGGTATACAAAGATCTGAGTAATGGTACTCCATTCTCATAAAAATTCTGTTTTCAAAGAACAAGACATTTAGGTCAGGTATTTTTTTGCTGTAAACTAAAAAATAAAGGGATTTTTAACAAAGAAAAGGGCAAAAATTGGAAAAAACAAAATAATTGAAACCGCTTGCTTGCGTCGAGCTGTCAAGTGATGCTTTTTTTTTCCTTCGTTCCGTTTGGAACAAGCGAAGGTCAGAAGACCATACTGTGCTTTTTCGGCGTCATTTGTCATTGAGTACAAAATAAGCAAAAACACCTTACAAGAAACTCGTCGACGCGAGCTATCTCTCTCTTTCTCTTTGGTTTGCAAAGAAAAAACTATTTATCGTTCAGAAACATATTAAACACAAAATCGGAATCTGGCAATGTTATAAAGACTCAGTGCATGATAATGGTAACAAATTAATATTTTCCAAAAAAACATTTTTTTCCATATTTAACAGATGACACAGATACTGAACGAAAACGATGAAACCAGACAGAGGTCTTTATTTAACGTGATTTTTTTTGCTGTTGTCCAATCCTTAAATAATGTTTTACTCGAACTTGTTTATACAGGCAACATAATTAAAACTTTGCAAGTATACCAAACAAGCCCTCAAGTTTTATTTCATTCTATTTAAGACATATTTTTCTTAACTATAATTATTACATTATAATACAAAACTTGATACATCATCATTATATAATGCAAAGTGCATTTAGCAGCATGATATCTTATTATTAGGATGTTAACCATTTTACAATATTTTAAGCTTAACAATATAATATTAATTAAGCAAAATACTAATTTACAGTAGTTGGTAAAAAATGTTGATAATAATTCTTGGTGAATTCCGTCATCAGGTCAGGCATAGCTTCAGGGAGAGTTGTTATGAGACGAGCAGGACTTCCAGAATATCTTGCAAAGGAAGGAACAACCGTCTCTGCTGGTAACACTGAGTTGTCTTCAATCATGCAGCAGTCTTTAAGAACACATCTTCTTCCCTAAAAAATATAGTTAATTATTAAAATTATTTATCAAATAAATTACAGGTATACTTCACATAGGTAGGCAGATTGTCATGTTCTTTAAAATACATAAGGAGCGTTTAATAGTTCCAGACATTTGCATTTCATTTCATAAAACATTTGTATACTAGAGTTTTCATTGAAGTTACATCAGACTTGATTAATGTTTTGAAGCTTCATGCTTTTCATAAAATAATTTAGAATAATCACATTAAACAAGCCTAAAAAAATTGTTAATCCATCACTCGTCCACACACAATTGTTAGAGACATTTCACTTCTCTAACGATCATGATCCTGTTGCTACAGTATCAAAATGGTCAGAGACACTATGTGCCATCAGGCTGCTTCATGTAGCCATATGGAGTCGCTATGGAGTGTCTTTTCAAACACATACACACACATAATAATAATAATATGTCAGTAAGCATAATAGATTAAAACCAAAGATCGTATACCCAAGATATGTTACATATACAGTAATTGACATTTGAAATCTGTCATGCAACCCATATAATATTTTTCAACAAATTGTGTATGACGAGTATTAACATAATTAATAGATGATTATGATTTTGTTGAACACAATGAACATTCCGAAAAGTAGGTGACAAGCAAACACAATGAAAAAGGAAAACAAAATTTTGTTATTAAACAAATGTGAAAAATATTTATAAGTAAAATAGAATCTACCTTGGATCAATGCTATTTCTAAGGTAACAGAATAGATTTGTTTGTTGTGTTCCTATCCTTTTATCATCATCATTATTTCAGTCAAAAAACATCCACTGAATATAGACCTTCCCAAAAGAACCCCACAAATTTAAAAGAAATTTAATCAAATTATTGTTCTTTTGCTATTAAACATTAACAATATTTGCTCTTTTGATCAAATCAAATAAAAAATTTATTACTTTTTCAATTCTGTGTTTTTTCATATAGAAACAACAAATTTTTATATTATGTAAGGTAGTATAAACACGTACGATACAAATCTAGAATAGTTGCTATCTCTATCTTCAATTAGCTATGGTTAGTTATTAAAATAAACAGAAAACTAAATAAAACATAGCAATAATGTAAATATTTATGCTAACTTAAGTCTGGTATGCGATTCCATGTCGACACTGGGAAGGTAAAATGTCCAACGTCCATTTGGAAAATATTACAGGAGTGATTAAAAGTATTTTTTTTAAGAAAATAAAAATCATAACTCTAATTTTATTTGTTATGTGGAAAGCTGAAATTTTGTAGTTCTACCAAATGCATGTTAGGCATTTTACCTTTCGTCAACGTGTTTACTTTAACATGGTAATTAGCGTATTTTCTAAATAAAGAGGCTTCTAAATAGCGCAATTTTACAAATGTTAAATTCTTCTATTTGCTTGATGCAGATTGATTGCAAGATCGATCAATTGACTGGTTTTTGAATCTTTACTATGCAGATGCTAGTCATACATCTGCCTTTTTTATATATAAGACATAATATTTACATTATTATTTATGGTAAACGCAATAAAGAATTGAATTGAATATTCATCAATAATAATAATAATGCACATATTTAACATCCCTGCACTAGGGAAACCCTGTGTTGTGGATGCCATGGACACACACATAGACAACCACAAATTACACCAAAACTCACGAGAGAAATAAATGAAGACCATACAAATATTTCTCACGGCCACGGGAATCGAACCTGGGACCTCTGTGTTGCAGTCCAGCACGGTGACCATTCGGCCACAGAGGCAGTTTCATTACTTACAATGACAACATTTTTTCCAATGTAAACAAATGAACCAACAACTGCTGCATTTACAACTGTATTTTCACCAACAAAAACATGGTCTCCCATTTGTAGGGGGAAGAAGGCCACCCTGTAACAAATATAGGGATACATTGACATGTTGAAATTAATACAATATATATGGAAGTAATGACAGTCACAGGATACTATTTAATAGGTAAAATGTATACAAATAACCTATGGCATTATTCTTAGACTCCAACTTTTATAACTGATAGCATCAGCATTGAAAATATGTGTTAAATTTACTTAATTAATCACATATAATGTTACTGTTAAACTCATACATTAAGAAAATACTTACCCTTTGCTAAATTTCTTGAATGGAGGTCGTATTACAGACCCTTTGCTTATAATACAAAATCTTCCGGTCTTCACATTCGCTAGGTCTCCTCTGATGATTGCATCGCTCTGAACGATTACTTTACCATGTAAAACTATATTTTGAGAGCCACACAGTACAGTCTGTCGACTTACTTTGTTACCCGAAGCCTGAAATACACGAAATTAATTAATATTCCAACAAGAAAACGAAATCTTTTTGCAATTGTATTTTTTAAAGTACACACTGTTTCAACATATTCAGACTTATTGTAATAAGTGTCTTGTAGTTCCATTTTTCTGTAATGTATAATACTGTTCTACAAATAAATAGTAGCTTCTTTTAAATTCATTCTATATACGAAACACATACGAAACTATCAACAACTTTCAGCGATTTTGACATTTTATTACAATGACACTGAACGGCACACGGAATCCTATGAAATGACATCATCGATTTCGTTTAGAAGTTTTTTCGTATTGAATATTTTCGTATTAAGTAATATTATTCCTAAATCCTTGTCGAATATTTGTGTAATCTAATAGTTCTAGAATAATGTTAGAGTTTACGTATATAAGATCATTGGTTAGAAGGAAATTTAATTGAATCTCCAATTATTTAATTTAATGATGGGCATATAAAGCTAACAAATAAAGTAAACTTCTTAAGTTAATCGGATCGGATTGAAGGATTTTTTTCTGTATGTTCGATCTTTGTATTAATAATATTGACTTATTAATAATTATAACAGACCAGAAAAGTAATTTCACAAAAAAAAACATTGAGTATCAATTCAATAAAAATTTAAAGTAAACTAAAGTTAAGTAAAAAATATGATAAACTGTTGGGGAATGTATTGAGTTCGAGAAGTCAAGGTGAATTCATTTCTCTAGAACACTATTATTTTTTTACTTTTTCAATTCTACTAATACACCGACGGCATACATACACATATATTCAGGCAGAATGTACTGTATATCTTGGTCTACATTGAAATTAATACCTGGCGCTACCCGCGCTTTTTGAAGATTTTTTTCTGCGATTGCAAAAACTAACTCGAAATAAAATCTAAAAAATCGTTTTATGATGGATCGGTACATTGTAAGAGAACCAAGAGTAGGAGCAGGTAACTTTTTTTGAGATGATGAAATATGTTTTAATAACTTTATCATTCAAGATTTAAAAAAATCCTTTAATCTTTTCAGACTATCTACAGGGAAATCAAATGATAGCCCTCTCGCCGAACCCAGGGAACAATAACATCGTGTAAGTAATTACATTTACATATGCACTTAGGTTACTCTACTCATTGCATATTTAACATTTTCGTAACTTCCAAGAGAAAGCGTTTCGCCATTGTTTCGATCGTCTTTTGTTTCTGGACATAGAATGGAAACTATGTACTTTGGTGGCTATGCAGCGGAGTTTCCTGGAGGGCAACCAGTTTCAGGATACGTGTCAATGCCACCAATGAATCCTCAGTCTCCATCATTTCCAACAAATGTAAGCTTAATAATTCATAATAAAAATATACTACTAGAACAAGCCACATTAATTATTTATGTGAGTATGAACCTAGGCAAACAACATCGAAATTAGTTGATTATGAAATTTTGCGATCACACAACTTGTTAGGTAGTATACTATAGGTACTTAAAATCACAGTGTTAGTATGGAAGTCAGTTGTCTTCATAAATTCACAAAATTATTTTATGGGTCATCTGTTCGCAAATGCCGGGAGTTATCGCGTAACATACATATAAAAAACATACAGTCTAATTGGGAACCTCCTCCTTTTTTTTGAAGTCGGTTAAAAATCTTTAAACTGATATCGAAAGTACGTTACATAATGAATAAAACAACATCAATAACTTTTTTAAAATAAAGCTACGTCAATAATATAATATATAATATCCAAAATTTTAACGTAAAATGCTTCCTATTTATTGTGACTTTCGTAGATAACAGATATCATAATTAAGTGCTATCTTTGGTTTACTGCTACCTTGGCACGATATTTTAAAATTAAACAATTAACGTAATTATTATTACGATTATTACAAGTGTTATTTTTAATAAGACAGTTTGGAGAAATTTTTAATCCCTACATAGTATGTACGTGTGTTTACAGGTAGGTACTTAGTTAGTTATATTATAAGTTATGTCGTCAAAGCTAAGTAAAGCAAAGCTAAGTTAAGTAGCAAATTGTAACGAATAAAATAATAACAAAGTGGTTATGGTTACCTGCATTATTTATGATATGACAATGTTTAGTAATTATACATTTTAGCCCTAGACTGAAGTAGTAATATTGCTTTTTCATTAGCCGGTCTCAGGTCAAGGTCAATTGGTGTCTGGGATCGACCCTAGATATTTGGCAACATTTGCAGATAGCAACGCATCGTACATAGCTGGTGAGTATCAACTATTTTCTAATGAAAATAAGTAATTTCGATGTCTAAGGTTTTTAATAGTGATACAAGTTGAAATAAAAGTATTCTTTTTTCGTTTTGGAATCATAATAATAATCACGCACACACTCAACATACCCCCACACTATGCACTAGGGGAACCATACCACCAACCAACATAGACAACCACAAATTACACCCAAACTCACGAGATAAATAAATGTAGGCCATACAAATATTTCTCCCTGCCCGGGAACCGAACCTGAGACCTCTGCAGGCAGTTAAGTCGACTCTTAAAATTCGACACAACCTGAAATGGCTTTGGTTGATTCCGAATAACAGTGAAAGAGTTGAATTAAAAAGTTTGGAAATAATTTACTTATCTTTAATAACATTGAGGATATATGCACTGATTGATTAGTACACGATGTGAAAACACAATTACTACAAATATTCAAAAAACACAAACTTACCTACAACAAAACCGTAGCATTCAAGCACTTTACGTATACCAATGTTTTTTCATATATCAACTGAACTAAATAATAGTACACGTATAGTATACGATTTACGAAAAAATGAATTCTGAAATTAAGCCAGTATCCCTGCGGCTCGAATTAGAGATTCAGTACTGGGAATATTTGCCTTCGAGCTGAGGTACTATCGACTCATAGAGGTTTCACAGGCGCGGCAGTTTGATCATAAATGTCTGACTGACTGTAAGCCATGATCATGGAATGTGTAAAGGGCCCAAAACTTTGGTTTGTTTGAAAAAACAAATATATGCGATTTAGCTAGATCCGAAAAATAGTTTCAATTGCAATACATCATTTGTTTTATTAGTAATGCTTATGAGAGTAAAATTAAATATCAAATTTAATATAAACGCTAGGTATAAGATATAAATGATGAAGAAATTATATATCGAGTTCTTAGGTTTTCGCGATTGTTACACATAGGAAATGAAACTATTTTTCCGGATTTAAATCGCGTATATTTGTTTTTTCAAACAAACCGACGTTTGGGGCCCTTTACAGGTCCCATGGTCACGGTTGACCATGGTCATGGGACCTATAAAGGGTAATTTCCTAAAGAAATTATACTTATTCATGTAACTTGAACTTTTTGATACGTATAACTTTACTACTAAAGTTAAAGTTAGTTAAACATGCAAAGGCTAAATTAATGAATGAATCGCACCATTGATATAATAAGGTCCGATGTGTAAAAGAACCATTTTTTAAGTTTAAAAATTCTACGAAACCAAATTTTAGTTAGAGAATTTCACTACAATTTTTTTCATGTAGTTCGTATTATTTTTATGACTTTCATGTACCTAATAAAACCTCTTTTGACGTTTGATTATATGTGACTTTATTATACCAAGGGTTCGAAATTGGGTTCCCTCCTGCGACAGAGTTCTCTAAATACTGCCAGCGTTCCGTCTTTGTATAGGTGTGCTAATACGATAGGCAATGTAGCTTCTAGTCTTCGAGTGTCCCATGTGGATCAATAATGAGGATGAAAGAAAGGGAGTTTTAGAGTGTGAATAAGTAATCTGAGTGGAACTAATCTTATCATTGCTCAGCTGCAAGACCTATTCTGTTCTTGGTATATTAGAAGCAAGATGGAGCCAATGTATCGATGCATGTGGCGCCCCACATTATATCTCGACCCACAGAATAAAAGTTAAGCCATTTGGGCGTTTGCCATCAGCACGTGACATGACTCTAGGCTGATAATGAGGTTGAAATCCTCATAAGTTGCAAAATTTAAAGAGAACAAGACTTATTGTCAACGAAAAGCAAGTGAAGGAAAAAAGTTAATGTTTGAAATATAAAAAGGAGAAGAAAATATGCTGTTCCGACTCCAACTCATGAGATTAGGGCGCGATATGATAATATGTTTTTAATGGTATATGATTACAAACTCACTGGATGGGGAAGTGACAATTGCTGCTAAAATCAGATTGTACGCAAGAATTTTATAATCGTCTCTTGCGAAACTAAGGAATGAACGTGTTTTGTATTCATGGTCATATGGTATATCGGACATTCTTGTGGTTAAAAGCTTCGGACACCCAAATCTTTTAAGAGGAGGTCTTATCGCTTCACCGTCTAAGCGTCTTTATAGAAAAGTGCCTATTAACTTTAAATTTCTTTCTTTTGCCAGGACAAAGACCGTCAGTACAACGTTCATGCGAACGACAAATTGTTAATAACGGCATGCCATTTGTTGGCGACTATCAAAATCGCACTTTTGCTGGTGCAGAGCGACATAAGCCCAAAACATTTACACAACAGCAAGTGATGTCTTCAAGTTAGTTGTTCATTTACTTCATTCGTTACTTTATTAGATTTTAAGTCTTCGAAGTTAAGTCATTGCGTCTTTAAACGTAAAAACGACAAGATATCCGCAAAATTAACATACGAACAATCGACTGTGAACTGGCAACCGGTACTATCTCAATTTTGACAACTTTATAGGTGAAGAAAAAATCATTTATAAAGCATCTGGTTTATTAAATAAAAATACCTACGTAGTGTACATACACATATATGTGTAATAAAAATATTTAAAAACTACGTATTTTTATTCAATGTACCAAACACTACTATATAAATGGCAAAAATAATTTTTTTCTTCACCTGTAAAGTTGTCAAAATTGAGATGGTACCGATTGCCAGTTCAGAGTATAGTAATTTCATTTCATTTACGAAAAGAGTACCAAACAATAATGAGTGTATTGCAAATATTGCAATTATTTAATGAGTTACTGAGAATAGTGTGCATAGTTAATTAATTTTCAGCGTAACTAACGCGGAATAAGTAAGAAAGTATTACCTAACCGTTTTATAGAAATTTTAGATTTTCTTATCTTGCCGTTAATGCATTCTGGAAAAGCGGCAATGCCACATAAATAGTAAAACAGTACGAGCAAATTAGCTACTTCGCGAGGGTTCGCGAACTGGGTAGTGAAGGCTAAATTGTGCAAAAAAGCTGTGCTTCTGTTGAATATTCTATTCATGATTTCCACATTCTCCCTCCACATAAAATTACTAAAATAAATAGATAACACAAGCGCAGGTACAGCCACAAACATCTCCACTAACAATATACCCAACACGTGTTTCGCCCTGCTACGGGGCATCCTCAGGAGTTGTTCATCGTTCGACTGCCGAAGAATTCTTCTTCGGCAAAATCTCTAATCATTAGCATCTAAATGTTAATTATATAAATAGTGTTTTAAATTTGTTAATATCATCATAAAATAGTCATAGTATCATTGTTTGAGTTATAATTTACTTAGATTTACACTCATTTTTGTAATTTCTAAGTATGAAGAATTTTGCAGTAATGTTTTTCCAAAAGCATACAAAATTGGCATACGGGAGTTTTCATTCCGTATTTGGAATATTAAAACGTTTCATTTGCTAAACTTCAGTCAAATGTCACGCCTGAAAGAATATTGGAACACTGCTTTATTATGTTTTAAATTCATGCTTATAGAACAAAAATTAACTGTCGGGAATTAATAAGCTTGTAGTATGTAGCTTGTTGACCAATTCATTAAAAGGATAAAGATAGTACGAGATGTTTGCATTGGAATCACATTGGAATACTTAGACAGGCTTTTTTTTTCAAGCTCCAAACTCAATGGCTAAGGCCCGCGATCCGCAGAAAAGTGTGTATGACAATGTTCAAGTATTAACCGATGGTCAGAAAATGTCGGACGTCGTTCAAAAACCTCGAAGTAAGTTCTCATATACCTCTACAGTAGCAAACCGAAACACTGTAATATCAAAACAGCATTTTGAATAAAAATAAGGATTTTTGTAAATTTTGAGGCTAATAACATAAAAAATATACATTTGACTTACTTGTATATTAGATAGCAGAGAGTTCTGTCCAGTCAATATGTTATTTTGCAAAGTAAGATGTTTCTACTAAAAACTAATAAACGTCTTTTTACTTGATAAAGAGCTGAAAGATACTTCTTTTTCTTCTTCTTATCTCAAGCTAGGTGGGGTCGGCACAACATTTATTTTTCTTCTACTATATCAGCCGTCATTTATACTCACACCTTTTCTTTTTCATGTCATCTCCCACACAATCCATCCATATTTTCTTTGGCCTTCCTTTTCCCTTTTATCCCTCCACATTCATACCTAGCACTCTTCTCGTCACATAACAATCTCCCCTCCCCATAACATGTCCATATCACGCTAACCTACTACTCCTCATCTTTTCCGTCTCTGGCGCCACTTTCAAACTTCCCCTGATGTACTCATTCCTTATCATATCCTTTCTCGTCACTCCAAGAGCTGACAGATACTTGTTGTAATGAAATTATAAAACACTGTACTGAGATTTGCAGTATTTTAGTTAGACACGATGACTACCTATTGCATTAGAAATGACCAGAAAATATATTAAAATTTAATAAATCACTAACTACAGTATCGAGTTCGTCTATCTATCGTGCTACTAATTGGAAATAAAACTATTTATTTTGGATCCAAATCGCGTATTTTCTTATGTTTTTTCAAGCAAACCAACGTTTTTCGCCCTTCATAAGTGACTATACCCAACCAGGCGAGACTTGTAAAGGGCCCGAAACGGTGATGTATTTAAAAATAAAATAACCGATTTAGGCCCGAAAAATAGTTTAATTTCCAACGCAAACTAGGGTACTGTGCTAATATTATATTTTATTAAATCAAACTAAAGACAATATATTACTTAATAGACAGTTATTGGTTGTGAACGATTGGGCTTCCGGTTCCGACGACCACCTAGTTTAATATTAAGAAAGACGAAAGACATCTTGTTCACGTATTATCAGTCTGTCTTAAACCAAAGTGATGCTAAGCCGCTAAACTCCTAACAAGCTTGTTTCCCTGTATTTTCGAGAGTTGCAGCAAACTTTGTGATATCTACTGTTGGATCCGATATCAACTTTAGCTTTCAGAGGCATCACTTCAACAGTAATTTACGTACTCAACTATACAAGGGGAGGTTTACGTCCAGCAGGGGATGGGTGTAAACTGATGATGATGATGAACCACATATGGGCATTGTAATAAGTGTAATAAATCAAAGTGGAAAGTGTGGTGCATCATTATTCCAGAAGTAACAGACTTACTTATATTTGTACCTACCTGTATATGTGGGGTATCTATTTAGTTATCAATCAATTGTGATTTTTTGTAGAAAGAGTTTTTATTTTTCATTTATTTTTTGTAAATGTACATGTAGCTCCATAATATGACTCGAATACCTACACGATCAACAACTCGTTACAAAAACTGTTAAGAGAATGGATGCAAGTAAAAAATATCACGTGGAAAGAGGGAAATATTGTTTGTTTTTAGTTTCCTGTCCTGCACAGCTATCTGCGGTAGACGTTGATTTACCGAAGAGAGAATACCAGAACCCTGTGAAGACACGTCTGGATAAAATAAAGGTATGGATATCTTTTAAAGTATAACGTTAAATATATTTATATCAGTTATAGCTTCTAAACCGATCCTTTTTTATATTTTACTTACACCAATAATAATTATAACCTATTTATTACTGAAACAAAAAAGATAAGCATTAATTAGAAAACTTTGAATAAAAATAAAGATCAGGTTGTAATCTTTAAGGGTCAAAGCGTATTCCATCAGCGTCGAGTATATAACCAGAAATAGAGACAAAATAGGGGCTATCCAACCCTGGCAACTCATCAGGCAAATGGGCCTTATATTATCACTTTTAAATATCAACTCTCGTTTGCGCTGAATTCACAAATTAGAAAACTGAAATAGTAACAGCGCCAACATTAATTGACCTGCGTGTACGTCTCCGTATATTCCAAAATTATTTTGTATTTATTGTAATAAAGAGAATATCTATAACAATGGTGGTGTGGGAAAAACAGCAAAACATCTAATTATAAACAAATGGAATCACATTTCATCGGTAGGTAATTAAATATTAAATATGTAATTTTTCAATGTTTGTTTATTATAGCAAAACTCAAGTTAAAGTGGTCGATTTGAAGTGAAACAACTGACGACATCCGTCAATTATTTCGGATTCGGGCTGGCCAATCGTAGCGCAGTTATCACCGTAATGATTTGGCAGAATAGTTTTCAAATAAATTAAATGACATTTCGTGTCCACACGCAAAATAGGCGCCTTGACGTCGAGTTGCAGACACCAGCCCGTTACACCAACCAACATTTCGTGTCTATTTCTGGTTATATACTCGATGTCCATCAAAGACCATTTCGTCGCTCAGTACGCAACAAATCGAGTATTGGCGATTGTTACTTGATACTCAAGTTAAAATAAAACGGGGCATTAAAAATAGTATAACCAAGATAAAATGATTTGTAATCCATAAATAGAGCCTATACTCTAATAATAGCTTTAAAATGTTTGATTACAATATATTGCATATTTGCAGTATTTTCATATTATTCGAATCACTTCAGCGGTGTTTATTTACAAAGCGACGATTTGTCTTTGATAGCTGCGAATCTCCACTAAAGCTCAGTAAACTTTTAAGACTATTATTATAAAACAACCAATTTTATGCAAGTCACTGTACAGATGTAAACAGAAACGAAATATTTAAAAAGAACACATACGTGTTTTGTTAAATAAACAGTTCTCTTATTGTGGACGATTTCGGCAATTTGTCATCGTTCAACGACAAAAGGTGCTAGGAAAAAACAGCAGGGCGCGCACAGGGCGGGATATTTATAAAATTTATCGTGCACGTTTGCGGCTAATATTCGCACACAAAATTTATATGAAAATGTTGAATATTTCACTAGAAAGAAGTAAGGAGATTTTCATCATTGCTCTGATAATTTATGTAATACTAATACTATCAACATAAGAAATGCTTGGTGAATGAAGTAAGGGTCCAGTCTTTCCAACCTATATCAAACCTAAAATTATATTACCTAACGTCAATTTTCCTACGAACGATTCACGTAATTTTCAAATACTTCTATCAGTCTAATTGAGTTTTCACCTAAGAACGATTGAAACGAAAAAAAATGAAAAGAACTATTTCAATTAGAAAACAACAATTTTTAAATTTATAATATAATTTGTCGAAAAATAGAAAAATGTTGCATATGATTTTCTCCAATTTAATCTAACCTGTTGGTAGCAACCTAATAGTTTTTCATATCATCGGAGTTATATACATAGTTTGTTATTTTTACACGAGGCATTAAAACCAAGAGATGAATATTTCTTTAAATATCCTACCTGTACCTACGTACCTGCTTGTACTTACTTTGTATTCTCGAGGACGTAATTAAAAAATGCAATGATCACCAAAAAGAATAGACTTATAGTCAAATTTAATAACGTAAGGTTTAGTTTTGTTTAACAAACTAAACAATGAATGGGCGTGGGTAATGTATAATAATATAATATATTGTATGGTAATATATTTCTTTTAAAAAGTATTTTTCTTTAAGATCATTTAATAATTATTTTGAAAATATCTTGCATTATCAAAACGCTAAAAGTTTTGCACAATCCATAGCTGACTAAGTTACCCGCTTCCTTGAACATACTTATAGAAAGTTGCTATTAACTTCTTACTTAGTAACCTAGGAACTTATAGATTCTGAAGAATGTAAGCGGTAGTCCTTCAAACGAAAATAAGTCGATAATTCCTATTCGACCTACGCTAATAAATTCAAGAGGTTAAAAATATTAAATGTATATTTTATCACCATTTAGGTAACCATACCTTAAAGAACTATTATGTTTAGATACTGCTTTGTAATAAATTATCAACTTGCCAAGTTTATTGTAAACTTCAACAAAGATGGAGCGATTTTGTTAAAGTAAATAAAAGCTAAGGAAGCGCATCTGCGCGGTCAACGACTGCAATATCCGTCGCTTTGTCGTAGAGAAAATAAAACTATGTAGACACTCGAATAAGCTTGATGTTTATTTTACGTTTTTATCCTTAAAACGTTAAATTCGATTATAAGCCTCTTACGATTATAAGGGTCTAGTCATAAATGTGAAGCCCAATGAGATTACAGATTTTTCACAAAAACAGGAAATTTTGCCTAATATTAATTATATGTCAGAAATATTGAGGTATCTATGGAAAATGGTTATGATTTCAGGTCATACAAAAAAATGGACCGCGCGCATTTTCTGGTCCTGTGGAAAAAGTACTAAAATGGCACAAAGCTCTACAAGATGTTGGAATTTTGATTTTGTACGAAATTGTTGGTGAGTTTATCTGGTGTAATAAAATTGTTTAACTATATATCAACAGGCAATTGAACATCCTGTACATTCTTTTTTAAGGTCTTATTAATGGATAAAAGCTACTTGAGTTTCTTTGCTAATAGAATAGAAAAAGCAATGTTTTGAATATGGAAATGGTAGATGTTATTAGAATAACGGTCCAAATTTATAGAACGAATGAGTGTGAAAACGCGGGAAAGGTCGACCTCGGCGTACATATCTCAATCAGATTCAGGATTTCCTTAAAAAAGACTAAGTCAAAAGTAACTTGAATATAATTGGGCTTGTATGAAAGGAATGGTGCTAGTGGAAACGAAAGAGGTACTTATGTCAGGAGCATGGGGGACAGGTGTGTTATAATAATGAACAATACAAAAATCGAACACAAAGAAAAATTCCTTCGATCTAATAAAACCTGCGTCTATGCCTTATCAGGGCAACCGCTTTACCAACTGATCTACATATCGAGGCAGTAGACCTTACGAATTTTTTGTATACGTTTGTTACAGATCTTTGTTTTTAGTTTAAACTGATTTTTGGCCGTAGTGCCATCTATGAGAAATCTATGAAAGCTTTTCTTCACTCGACCAGCTTTTACAGTTGCAAAGGTTGACAAGAGATGTCGCTTTATAAATTGTAATATTGATTGTGATAAACATTTTTCATAATTTTTTTGTGAAATTATATTCGAAGAAATTTTTCTTTGCGTTCGATCTTTGTATTAGTAATTAGAACGAAATACCTAGTGGAGTAATTTCGCAAAATATAAATAAATATTATGGAAGTAAAACATAATGATATTCATAATAATCAATAGGTGTTATAAATATTTACGTATACAACACATGTAGTTTCAATTTGTTAGTATTATTCCTAAAAAATACACTTAATTCTCAGCAAAATGTGTAAGCGTAAGACCAGGAGAATCCTGTGCGAAGAATTTAGTGATTCGGGATGACAATGGACCCGCCATTCAAGTTGTTTATTATGAAATCGACTTCTTGCTACCAGAACTAAAGCCACCTTGCACGGTCAGGTAGAGTCTGTTTTTTCAACTACAGTTGTCTTGAAGTAATGTAAAAATTGTGACGTTTCTCGGAGGTTCAAGTTTAAATAAGTCAATGCACGTAACGGTGTTGTCAATTTTCAGAGTGATCGGTCGTATAATGCCCGGAACATGCAGACTACAGGCTTTCAGTGTAAGAACAGCTACTGGCGACGACGTAGCGATTCTACCTCGACGAGCAGCCGTAGCTTCACACCACGTGTCTAAAATCTGCAAGGAATTTGACATAGCTGTCTAATTTTTCATCCTATTTTGTTTTTTATTTTGTTGTAGTTAATAAAATATGTCGAGATTAACCTGTTAGGTGCAGTGGTTATTTTATTTATACCGATTGCTTCACATTGCAACGTCATAACACAAAAATACACAAGAAAGAATAATTAAAAAATAAAGTAAAGCAAAAAAAGAACAATGAATCAAACATACAAAATTACAGACAATCGAATATGGCATATACTTTCGCTTTTCAGAGCAGCAGTGTGAATGTGGTATGATTCAGTACAAACTCAATAATCCATCTGTAAAGAAACTGTGTTTGGCAAATTTATTCCTCAATATTGCATTGGGAACTATATTCTATTATATTTTTAAGTTTCTGGCTTCCCTTGAAGAATTTTGCAATGTCTAGTCAGTCATTGGCAGAATTCTTTATGTTCAACTGCTTCTGTAGCAATACAAAACATCACGATATACCAACATCATTAGAGATATTTAAATATGGGAACAATATCATTTGTAAATTAAATAATAATAATAATAATAAAAATCTTTATTTCAGACCATAAGTCCATAAGTGTTAGTATCATATAAAAAGAAAATCTTAAGCACTATTGTTAGTAAAAAATAAAAATGTACAAATAAAATAACAAACTAAACTAAAAAACCTCCAACGTTAGACATGTAGTGACGACCACCGGGCGACCATTGGTCCGTCCCAGTGGTCGGCGAACGCGGACAGGATGGTGTTGGGGCTGGCACGGATGCGGGCTTCGAGGGAGGCGCACCTCTTCCTCATGACAGCCGCAAAGCCGTCCGTCCGCGCCTCGGCAAACATGCCGGACGCGCTGCACCTCCGCGGCAGCCCCAACAACACCCGGAACGCGTTGTTATACTGTACGCGGAGTACGTCGTACGCCTTCTGCGTATAGTTCACCCACAGGGCGCACGAGTAAAAGGAGACGCAAAACGCTTTGAAGAGCGTTATTTTTACGTCCCTCGTACACCGCGCGAACCTGCGGGCCAACATATTGCATCGGACTGCCAACGATCTCCGCTCCCGCTCGATGTCTTCGTTGTCACAGAGGTTTTCGGTGACCCAGTGACCCAAGTACTTAAATTTGGTGACTGTCTTCAAAGGAGCGCCAGAGAGAGTGAGTGGTGGTACATTATAAGTTTTCGTACCAGCCTTAAAAACCATCAGCTCACTTTTACTAACATTGTACTTGAGTCCATGGACCACCGCATACCGTTCACAAATCTGCAAAAGACGCTTGAGAGCACCGATCGAGGGGCTCAACAAAACCATATCGTCTGCGTAGCTGATGTTATTCACGCAAATGCCATCAACGTGACACCCAATTTTAGTTTTGTTGAGCTCCTCGATCAGCTCATTCATATAAAAGTTGAAGAGCCGAGGTGAGGTTAACCCCCCCTGCCTCACTCCGCACTCCAACCCGTACTCGCCTGAAAACGAACCGGACCATCTCACACTGTTTTTCTGGTGGCTGTACCAAAACCTTAAGAGGGATGTGATCTCATAAGGCATGGTCGACTGTTGTTCGATCTTATCCCACAGCACGTCATAAGATACTAGATCGAACGCTCTGGACAAGTCGAGGTAGCACGCGAAAACCGGTGTTCTTCCAGCTGTATAGTACTGGACAGTGCGCTTCAGGCACATGATGGCACTCTCCGTAGACAATCCAGACCTGAAGCCAAACTGCGCGTCATTCAAACGGAGGTGCCCCTTCAAATAACCATCCAGCACACTGTCCAGCACCTTGGCTACAATGGTTGCTAATGAAATCGGCCTATAGTTGGACAGCTCAGAAAAATCACCGGTCTTATTCTTCACAATTGGGACCACAACAGTACGCATGAGATCGTCCGGTAAGTAACAGTGGCCCATACACAGGGTGTAAAACATTGAAAGAACCCTGGGCAAGTGAACACCTGCATGCAGCAGATGTTCAATGCTGAGACCATCGTGCCCCGGTGACTTACCCCTAACCATGGTTTTTATTATAGAAGCCACCTGTTTTGCAGTTATAGTTAAGGTAGTCTCAGATATGGCCCCAGCATTAAACACCCGCGCAGAAGGTCCCAACGGGGAAACCACTTTGAAATGACTCTGGAAGAGGTCGGCTATATCCTTAGGGTCTTGAACACCCGCGATAGTCGCGGGGGCACTCGTTTTGTGATTTAATTTATTTACAGCTTTCCAAAAGGGTCCAAAGCTTTTACTGCAATGATGTTGAGCAATTATATCATTCTTAATTTGCTGTTCGTGGTTTTGACACCATTTTAATTTAGCCTTAAACTGCTTCCTAGATTGGTACATCTCATCATAAAAATAACCCGATGAAGGTTTACCGTGAAGAACCCAGTCTTGGAAACATAACCTAGCTCTCCCATGAGCCCCACTGACATATCGGTTCCACCCCGTCACATAGTGCTTCTTTTTATTATTTCTTACATGAAAACAGGTCACCGCAGCCTCCGTTAAGATACCAATAATATCCTGATACAACCGTTGCAAAACTTGAAAATGATCATTATTGTTGCATTTTATTACAACATTTACTAAGCTCATGAGGGAAATCTATTAGCTTTAACCTAGAGTTACAAAAATCGTGGTACTTTGATATCTGAGCAGAGTCACGGTCACCCCACATAATCTTATTATTATTACAAACAGATTTTAAAATTTTAGGCTTAATTAAATTAATATTACAATGCACTACAATGGGGAAATGGTCAGACCAGTACGAATCATACAAAATCGACGTACTTACAACAGTTTGCCTCGCAGCACCAGTTCCAATACAGTGGTCGAGCCACCGCCGGCAGCCATGCGCCTCGCTCACATATGTGTATGAGTCAGAGGGCAAGAGTTCCAAATCAATACAAGACCAACACTGATCCGCACAAAACTGTGTAAGTTCTACAGCAAACGGCTCCCCTGGATGGGAGTTGAAGTCACCTAATAAAAACACCGTTTCGATTTCCTGACTCTCAATTACCGCACTAATCTCCGCAAGACAATCCGTGAAATCGACCATGTTGTCACTACAGTCTGTCGGCATGTACACGGAAAATATCAATAATGCGCGATCCTGCAACGCTACCTTAATAGCAGCCAACCGAGCATTTTTACACTCAACCACAGATACTACGGCGGATATGTCTCTCCTCCACAATAGCGCTACCCCACCATAAGGCCGTCCTCGGAGTACACCTGCAGATGTATCCACAGCAGAGGTCCCCGTGAAAGCGAAACGATCATCGATGCTTCCCAAATAGGCCAAATCGTGCGGCAGCGGCCAGGTCTCCTGCAGCGCGATTAAATTAAAATGACACAAGATATAATTTTATAATGACAGAGTTCCGAAGTGAAACTGTACAAAGGAAACCTGTCTATATTATTAGCAGGGTCGCCATTTCATGTAGCTAGAAGTTGCCTCGTGTGTGGATCCATTGTCCATACTTTTCTTCGATTAGCAAGAAATAAAAATTATTAAAAAAATATTAAAAACATGTTGACTGTTCATATACTACAAAATGTAAATACTGTAACTAGGCGTATATTCCTGAAATAAAGTTCTTCTTTCTATTTAGTGCTCCATCGATACCTTCGATGGTTTCGTCACCGTTAAGTTAACGAAGGCACGTGTTAATTACTAAGAATTTGACCGGTGAATTTCGACATCAGATTCACTCGGAAAAGTATCTACAACAACAGACAACACAAACATTTACAGACTTTTTATATTATTATTGTACAAGTTGACAGAACTTCGTTTATGTGCCATACAAATGTGACTGGAACACAAACGATGCTGCGTGATGTGGTTGCGAACGATGCGTTATAGAGTTTGCAAATTTTTCTTGTGCGAAAGCCGCAGGCTAAATCTTTGTGACCCTATCATAGATATAAATATTTTTGAAGTTGCGCCCATTTATCACACTTACAAAAACATCATTTTTTCTTGAACTATCAATAATTTATGTTCCTGTCTGAAACAGCATTTTCAAATTAAGCAGTCGTAATAGCATCTGAATCTTGGCAGACTTTCAACTACATTACTTCGCAATCTTGCAGGAATTTTTCCGGGTGATGCCTCTCTCTTGAAGGAATATTATTAAGAAACTCGCTTTCATAAACTGCCGATATCGAACTTTGGGCGTCCGCCAAATAACGTGGACTGCACTGCACTCATTAGCATATCGGAGAGCAGAGAATTTGCTTGGATGAATTTGCACTCCCTTTCTGTGCAAAACAACACAGATTTTAAAAAGTTTGTGTACCTGTTCATCTTTTTATTGAAAGACTTTACGGTACCTACTTTCACATCACACAGACTTTCACAACATGTCAAGCTTGACACTTTAGATAGCGCTTATTATAATCGTGTCATTACTTCGTGTGTCATTTTGTTACGTATTGTTTTTCTTTAACTCCACTATAGGACATTTAATTTTTATGGAGTTAAGAAGCACTCAAATTATTACGAAAATTAAGTATTTGCGACTTGCATTTTTATTTGTACCTACATCGTACCGTAACAGTTCAATTTCTATAGGTGCCTACAGATTTGCTCGAATTTTTGGTGTTCGTTCCGTGTGATCAGACAAAATTGAGTTAAATAATAAAAATAAATAAAACGCAACAGACGACCGACAACGTATATTTTGTCGATCGACACATCGACACTGTGGAATTAAATTATTAGGCGTAGGTGCCTCCAAATTGTTCAATTTTAAATTGTTAATCGTTACTTACTCGTATCAAATCTGTAAGCACATTATGTTAGACATATTTGTTACGATTTTGCAATGGTAATTTAGTTTTTGTGTTGTGTTGAATAATAATATTAGTTTAATCGTTGCGATTTTACTTAAATATTATACGTTTTAGTAGGTTGCCGATTAACGACCTTTGTTGTGTGAGTGTTGCAGTAATCTTTATATTGTTTGTACTAAGTCTAGTTGATAATATAAAAATGTTGCGTGGTGTTCTGATCTAAGCTTCGTATAAAGCCCCTTGTTATAACCCAAATTCATAAAAGTTTTATGACC